TGAGGTGTTACACGATAAGATAATCGAGCAACAATTCCAACACTAGGACTAACCTGAAATTCTCACTACATGACCAAGTGTATTATGGAAACCTGGCATAACCTCCCCATTGCGTCCACTTATGTTAATTCCAGTATACATGTAAGCTTTGTGCTAGTAATCAAGAAATACACATCTATCATCTGACACTAGCTCACTTGTACTTGTTTATTTGGCAAAACCAAGCCTCGAATATGCATCTCATCAATTAGAACCACGGTTTAAAGTAAATTATATGAGCTCAAAAGTAAAATACTTGAGCAAGTAGGCTAGTGTATCATGCATAGTTAGAAAAAATTACTCTAACGTAAATAAAAGTATTTCAAAAGTAAATAAAAAAAAACAAAAACAAAACTCTGTAAATCAATATGGTGAAGTGTATGTCATAATCCACACTCATAGAAAGGAAATACAATAGTAAGACCAAAAATGATGTTGAATTGAGAGTACCAACTATAAACTTTATCTAAATTTATTAGCTAAGTGATATGTGTCTATTTTATATAATATTTTACCCCCTTCCCTTGGTCATAATTAGTAGTGTTTTTGGCTCTTTAGAGCCACTTTTATTACTAATTGATGTTTTCTAGTGTTTTCGTAGGTTTGGTTGACTTTTGCATGGAGTATTTTCCCGAGATATTTTGGAGCAATCACGAACATTGGAGAAGCACGACCAGATTTTATAGCCCAGGGCTGGTTAGAGCCATCGAACCGGTGATTAAGGGCTCGGTATAGGTGGTACCGGGGCATTTGGACCGAGTATTCAAGACCCAAAGAGGAAACCCATATTGACCCGAAGAATTGGAGCCCAATCGTAGTCCAAATAGTGGCCCAAGAGAGCCGCCAGGCCAAAAAGGCTGGCGCCCGGAGGCGCGCCCGGCCGGGCGCGAGATTAGTATTGATGAGCAAAAAGGCGCGCCCGATTGGGCGCATGTATTTATTAGGAGACGATTAGCGTCGTTTTAGTTTGTTTTAGTTTAGGATTTGTACGGAGTATAAATATACGATTTGAGCTCTCTCTCTCTTTCTTTACTTCCTTAATTAATTTCTTAGATTTTCTCTCTTAGATACTTTTGTTTTTAATCCATTCTTAATTCCAGATTTGTTTGGTAACTTTTTCTCTTCTCTTAATCTTAGTTGTTTATTTTATTCCCTTAATTATGTCTTGATTTATTTCTTTGATTTGTTTAGTTTTTATTATGTGTGAGTAGTTTTATTTCTAGGGTTTATGGGGATCCATAAATAATATGAAGGGGTAATTTATTGTTGTTAATTATCAATGCTAGATTAATTTTCTATTGATTGATTTAATGCTCTGTGACTAGATTAGGCCTGATCTTTTATATGCATGAGTTTGACAATATTGATTCGAGATTCGACAGATGAGAATTGATGATTAGGTCTAGTTTCAATAGGCAGGTTAATTTATAAATGGTTAGGTCGAGATTCGAAAGATGAGATTTAATACCGGTAAATTAATTGTGTGATTATAATACGTAGCGAAAGCCCTTTATAATCTGATTATATTCTACCCTGGAGTATTATTTATTGGTGAACCTATGCCCTAGGCCTTTTATTCATTGTTTCTCCTCCTACTTTTATTCTTTCCCACTTTTACTCTTAGTAATTTAGTTTCCTTCGATTATTATATTTTGGTTACTTTATAATTTAGATTATAATAATTAATTAGGAGTAGAAAGACTTGTTTCCCTGTGGAGTTCGACCCTACTTCCCTATCTACTTTAGTTAGAGGACTTAGGTAATTATTTTTTATTAGGGGATACGACTTTACCCTGTTACTAAGCATAACATACATAATTACTCTGGAAAAACAATTCCACTCTATTACAACCATTCAATAAGGCAATATTCGATCAATTAAAATTCATAGAATACACATATCATCAATGTGTACGACATATAATCATTATCTAATGTTCTAAAAAATGCAAAATACTACAATAAAAGTGAAGTTAAATTCTCTACCTAGGACCGAAAATTCCGAGAAATGTTAACAAAAACCGTAACAAAATTGCTCATACTAGAACAACCAAAATCCTAATTTCAGACTCAAATTTATAAAACCGCAATTTTAGTAATTGAAATCACAAAAATACAAACAAATCACGAGAATACACAACCAGATCTAAAATTCACAATCAAAATCAACAAAAATCTCAACAAAATCATAATCAAAATAAGCGAAATCGCAAAATTATTTATCAAAAAATAGCGAAAACCCTAATTATTTTAATCTTGAAATAATGAAAACCCGAAAATAGAGGCCCTAATTAAATAAAAAGAAAAACAAAAACAAATAAAAAAAACTTACTTGATCATACTTCGTAATTAACAAGGCAATGAAGATTTGAGAATGAATGAATTTGATATGCAAAGAGATTCCCCAGGAAAAGAAAAGATATAAAATGTATTATAACTATTACTCGTGTTTAAAATTGTAATATTCGTATTAAGTATTAAAATGCTATTACTTATGAATTTTTTTTAGAAAAACTAACATTTTGATTTAAAAATTGTGCATTGCTCATGTACTATACTAGATATACAACAATCATGTTCAATAATTTATGTTATTTTATATATATATGCATTGAGTTGCTCGATCATTTTTTTGCGTGTTCTATCCGATTCACCCTTTGGGCTAATCCAGATTCGAGGATCAGTTCTGGATTGTTAGGTTCCACTCCCGTTCCGATTGTTGTTGCAGGGGATCGAATACGGGTCCTCCCTACCAAGTGTAGTCTCAATCACCACTACACCACCTGTACACTTGGTATGGAGGACCCATGTTATAAAATATTATATTATATACATATACTTTTTTATATTATAAAAAATATTATATTATTTACACATACTATTTTACACGAAATATATTAACTTTCATACTATACTTAATTACATAGAATGTAAAGTACATGAAAATAGTATCATACCTACATTTCAATTATATAATAAGAACTTTAACAATATGACTTATTATATAATGTTTAGGTGTAATAAAAATGACATGTATATTTTTTTATTATAAAATGTTGATTTGAAAGTCTAAATTATAGTTAAAAGTATTATTATATATAAAACAACATAAATTATTGAACATGATTGTTGTATATCTAGTATAGTACATGAGCAATGCACAATTTTTAAATCAAAATGTTAGTTTTTCTAAAAAAATTCATAAGTAATAGCATTGTTAATACTTAATACGAATATTACAATTTTAAACACGAGTAATAGTTATAATACATTTTATATCTATTCAAATGTCTAATTCAATTTAACTTTTATTCTTCTTGTTTAGATTGGTTTTTGGTTCAATTTCTTTCTTTATTTATTTTTTTTTATTTTTTTTAATGTAAACAAAGGTAAAATTATATTGTAAAAGGCATTGTATAGAAAATGAAAGGTCGATTAAAATTATATTTATGTTCAAGATTATATATTTTTTTCCAAGACAACATTTCGGCTCAGCATTCAGTATTTGTCAAGGAGTACAAAAAACTATAAAAGTAATTTTTACACTACTTTGTATTTTTATCAAAAACTTTTGTATTCATCTGATAACTTGCATTGAGTTTAAGATAATTTATAGACTATTTTGGGTAACTTTTATCAATAAAGCATAAATAACTTTCATTCATTTTAGGGTAGCTTTTATAATAGGTGCACAATATTTTATTATACATCTGATTTTTTTATAAAAAATGTTTGTATTGAATTCATAATTGACGTCAAACTAAATTCTATTGATTTTATTTAATTTTCATAAAAAAAAAACAATATTATCCTTTCAAAATACGAAATATTTGTTTCCTTAATTATGCCACTTTAATCATATTGCTTCAAATTAGTTATTATTCTCTAAATTGACTACAAATAAAGATTGAAAAGACGTTATGGATTATTTGTAGTATTGGAAAGTATATATTTTATTATTAAAAATTAAATCAATATTTATGTTAGGAAATCATGAAAATCTTATGCATGTATAGAAACTTGCTTTTATTGTTTAAAGTTGAACAAAAATAACTATGCTTGAATATGTAAACAGTAATTATATAGATATATTTTATACATAAGACAAGCCAATGAGAGAGTGACATTTGCCATCCTCACATTGAGGCGCTTGTCTTTTAGTATAATATATAGATAGATAGATAGATTGATTTTCTAAATTGACTACAAATAAAGATTGGAAAGACGTTATGGATTATTTGTAGTATTGAAAAGTATATATTTTATTATTAAAAATTAAATTAATATTTATGTTAGGAAATCATGAAAATCTTATGCACGTATAGAAACTTGCTTTTATTGTTATATAAATATATTTTATAAATAAGACAAGCCAATGAGAGAGTGATATATAGATAGATAGATAGATTATAACGAAAATTGTTAAACGAGATCTGAATACTCGAATAGGTACCTCAATTCCTCGGAGCGAAAAATCAAGACTCCTCTTTTAAGTACGAACTCTATGCTCACCCTTGCCGCAAAACCGGCATTCATATTATGCCCATCTTGATTAACTTGACGAGCTAGTTTGGCTACGATGGATTAGGGCGTATGCAATTTCAATTAAAATTCTGCAAAAACAATTCTGGACGTTTTTCCACAGTGAGCCAATTTTGGCAAATATTAACCAAAATGGTTGCGTGGCAAAAGTATTTACCAAACTAAGCTTCCAGGCTAAAACGCTGTCTCGGTCAGCGTTTTATGCCTGGGTTTTTTTTTAAAAAAAAAATCAACCTAAAAACGCTGTCTGGGACAGCGTCTTTGTTGTTGACCTTTTTTTTTTAAATTTTTGTAATTGCCTTTTATTTATAAAAATGTTTTTTAAAAAAAAAACAGTTATACCAAAGATGCTGTCCCAGACAGCGTTTAACTCTGGAACTATAAACGCTGTCTCAGACAGCGTTTAAGGTTATTAATGAAACGCTGTCTGAGACAGCGTTTCTGTCGTTTTTTTTTTCCCTCCAACAGCGTATTTCATTTCATTTCCTCCTCCTTCATTCTCAAACCCCTTCTTTCCCAAACTCTAACTTAATCCCCCTCTCTCTCATACTTGTGCTCCTCCGTGTAGACCGCCGCCGGCGCCGCCACCTCCACCGTCGCCCGCCGTCACCTCCACCGTCGCCCTCCGTGTAGCCCACTATACACTCCCCTCACCCTGAAATAGGTATTCATTCAACTTTCTTTGTGTTTTAAATTCTAGGGTTTATGTTGGTGATTTCTAATTTTTTTGGAATTGGGTTAAAATGTTGATGAGGTTGAGTTGTTAGTGTTAAAAATGTTGAATTGTTAGTGTTGGTATTGTTGAATTATTAGTGTTGGTAATTGTTGAATTGTTAGTGTTGATAATGGTAGTGTTGATATTGTTAGTGTTGATAATAGTTTGGATAATGTTGAATTGTTGTTGTTGGTTTTGTTGAAAATTGTTGACAATGGTTGATAATTATTAGGTTTTGAACAATTGTAATTACCTACATTGTTGTGTAATAATGGTGATTTAGGGGTTCTTAGTAGTTAATTTGTAGAGTATGTAAATTTTTTTGTTTGATTGTGGTGATTTAGGGATGATTTAACGGCTTTACGTAAAATGTGTTTTGGTTGTTATGTAGAATATGGCTGGACAAAATGTAGCGTTGTTATGTCGATGGGGAGGTGAAATTTTGTGTAATGGATCAAATGTGGAGTACAGTGGAGGGAATATGGACCTTATAACACTTGAACCGAACATGACTGTGACTGATCTGATGAATGAGGTTCACAGTTGTATTGGTTCAAACCCTATGATTGTTGAACTGAACCTTAAAATGAGGTGTGATACTGGTCATGGGGTGCAAGTGTTACCTGTCTCTACGAACAGACATTTGAAAGGTTTGAGGAGCATGGTAGGAATGAAGGGTTTTCCCAATGAGATATATGTAGAAACAGTGCCTATATGTACCCAACAAAGTACTCGGGCAGAACAGCAAGCTACATATGTCTCTGATTACAACACCGCGTCCTTCCAAGAGCTCGCAAACCACATTCCATCGAATGCATATGGGATGGGTTCTTTCACTCAAATGATGCAAGACGACCAATTTCACTTGCCTTTTAGTTCTCATATAGCTTCACCAGTACATGCTGGGGGACGCGTGACAGTGTTCGGCCAGCCTGTTCCGTCGTCATCGAACACCGTGGCATCTTCGCCGATGCAATTGCATAGCTACTCTCCTATGCAAGGTGATGATGGTTCACCATTTCGAGAAGAGCCAAATCATTTTGATGATGTTGTGAATAATGAATTGTCGGTGTATGATGTGTATGCGGAAATGGATGATGAGGACGAGAACGGAGAGGGGGATGATGAACCTACACAGGTGGAAGATGGTCAGCCGTTGGTTAGAACTCCCATACCTTGGTTCAGTGAGGTACCCGAGAACTATGAAGTTGATCAGTATTGGGCCGAATCGGGTAGCCACACCTCTTTTGTTCCTGGGGGAGAATTTGAGAAGGGAATGTATTTTGAGAGCCAGAAACTGCTTCAAGAAATGGTGAAGATGTATTCTATTCAGAGGAATCAATTATACACCACAGTGACCTCGAATGGAGGTGTCCTACATCTGCGATGCAAGAAGAAATGTGGTTGGATGCTACGGGGTACCAAATCGAGTGAGCACTCACGTGGTTTTACCATAGTCACGTACAAAGGCCCGCATCGGGAGACATGTATCACTAAAGTACTATCTAATGATCACCCACACTTGGATTCGTCCGTAATAGCCGAGTATGTGAAGTCCTTTGTGCGGAAAGATCCTTCGTTGAAAGTGGAATTCATACAGGAACTGATCTCGAAGCAATTTCATTTCGATGTCCCGTATCGACGAGCGTGGTATGCCAAGGAGAAAGCTATAGCTGAGATATTTGGGGATTGGGAGAGTTCATATGGCAGACTTCCCCACTTCATGCAAGCACTCCTACGGTCGAACCCGGGAACATGTGTCGTATGGAAACACAAAGCTTTAGTGGATGGTGTATACTACAGCAACATGGAAGTGTTTGAACGAGTGTTTTGGGCCTTCGGTCCTTGTATCGATGGCTTTAAACATTGTATGCCTGTTATCTGTATCGATGGGACGCACTTGTACGGGAAGTATAAAGGAACACTGTTGGTTGCTACGAGTGTTGATGCAAGCTTCCAAGTATTTCCTATTGCATTTGCGGTGGTTGAAGGGGAAAACACTTCCAGCTGGTCTTGGTTCCTAGGTTGTATTCGAGATCGTGTCACGCAACGGGATGACCTTTGTGTTATTTCTGATCGGCATCCTGGGATCATTGCAGCAATGAATGATCCAAATGTTGGATTCACCCAGCCCCGAGCGTATCACAGGTTTTGTGTCTGCCACATAGCCTCTAACTTGAAGACTCACGTGCGAAGTAACGACATGAGAGACATGTTCAAGGCCGGTGCGTACCAAAGGCAAGAAAGAAAACTTCAAGCTGATCTGTGTTTCATTGGTGAGGCCTGTCCCAAGGCCATTGAGTACATTGCTCAAGTCCCGTTCCCTATGTGGTCTCTGTTTCACGACAGTGGTCGCAGGTATGGTATATGTACTACTAACTTCTCGGAGACATTCAACAATGTGCTGAAAGGAGCTCGGTTTCTACCGATTATGTCCCTTGTCGAGTTAACCTTCCACAGAGTTAACAAGTATTTCACTTTGAGAAGGGAGTCTTCTGAGGCTAGGTCTGATCAGGGACTTCCATACCCCCCAAAGGTCACTGCCATCCTCGAGAAGAACACCGCTAAATCCAGATATCATAGAGTGGATGCCTATAACCGGCGATTGCATATTTACCAAGTGACAACAGAGAGGGGAGAGAGAGTTGGTAATAAAGGAGGCCACAAGCATACGGTGAACTGGCAGTTGAGAACGTGTACGTGTAACAAACCGAAGATATTCCACCTCCCATGTTCTCATGTGCTAGCAGTCTATGCTACATACTCACTATCAGAACGGCCTTGGGTGGACACTCTGTTGCAGTCGGCCGCCTACATGAACACCTATGCACCACAGTTCTGGCCGATCCCCTGCGAGACAACCTGGGCACAGTGGGCACAGTACGTAGGCCCTAAACTCATTCCGGACGACACAATGATACGTGGAAAAGGTCGTCAAAAGTCAAAGCGCATACGTAATGAGATGGATGACAGCAACCGGCCCCCAACCAAATGCAGTCGTTGTCACCAGCAAGGTCACAACCGCACTACTTGTCCATCTAAGCCAACATAGGACCTAAGTGTATATGTGTTATTTGATATAGTAGTATGTAGTGGTGTTATTTTGATGAAACAGTTATAATTTTATACATTATGTGTTATTGTGTTCAATTCGATGAATTTTATTTTGTACGTTGGATGTTCGAGATTTCCTGTTTATGCCTTTCAATCGAAATTAGTATTCAATATATTGTGTTAGTGTTTGGTGTGTAACGTTTTCAATGAACAGATATCATGGACGTACGGGATAGGACACCCGGACCTGTTGACCCTTCTGTCCTGACACTACAGGACACCCATCGGAGCGTCGACGTATGGAACCTGACGGTAATGATTCATCTTTAATGTTTTTGGATTCTTTGATGTACTATCTTTTGTTACTTATAAATGCTCCTGTGTTTTCAGGGTGACGTAGCGAAGCCACTACAGTGCAGGCACTACAGGACCCCTGGGTTGTCCATGATCGCTGCCTTGAGTACGTGACGTACGCTGGCTTTGGCGGTGTACATCGCTTGGGATTCAGGGAGATCGACCGACACCTTGTCACGGCGTTAGTGGAGAGATGGAGGCAGGAGATGCACTCCTTCCACCTACCAGTTGGGGAGGCGACTGTGACATTGCGGGACGTGGCAATACTGACGCGCCTTCCAGTACAGGGGACTGCGGTGACGGGATCATTTCTAGTCGATCCCGTTGGATTGGTTGTGCGGGTTCTCGGGGTGCAGCCGGGTCCCAACGATGTTAGGGGCTCCGCCTTGAGGACGGTCTGGTTACGAGATACTTTCCAGGGCTTGCCTGCGGACGCCGATGACGCCACAGTACAGAGATACGCTCGAGCGTACTTGTTCTTCCTCATATCCGGCGTGTTGTTCGGCAACAAGAGCGGGAGCCACTTGCAGCTTATTTACCTACAGTTGTTAGACCACGACTGGGAGCATATCCGTGGATACAGCTGGGGTAGTGCCTCTTTGGCGGTGTTGTATCGCCAACTTTGCAGAGCCTCACGGAGTGGTTCGCTCGAGATTGGAGGACCTCTGTTTGTGCTTCAGGTATACTACGTATATTATCACAAGCGAATTATGCAATGAGTAATGTCATATTTAACATAGTTTTGTGTTTTGCTATTGAAGCTATGGGCTTGGGAGCACATCCACGTAGGAAGACCAGGTAGGCCTGCTGTACATCGTCCGGGGCAGCAGGACCAGGATGACCAGTATGAGCCGTACATCGCTCCGCCTCGCCCTGCAGCTGATGAGGCTTACGGTTGCAGGTTTGTAACAATTGTCATTTTTTTTCCCATATACGATTTCATTTTGTAAACATACTTACCAAATTTGTTGCCACAGGGGGATGGTCCCCAGACTCACATAGGCACATGCGGCGACGGGTCTCCCATACTACCGAGACGCCCTTGATCGACTCACTAAGGATCAGGTACAAACTCTGAAGACATTTGTAATCATTTAGGTACTGTGTATACTGATTGTGGACTAACTTATTTAGGATGTGTTATTGCAGATCACATGGGATCCGTATGTACCGGAGTTGGTAGATGTCATGCCTGCACATCTACTAGAGCATCAGGGAGAGTGGCGTGCCCGGGTCCCCCTGATCTGTTTCGAGGTTGTGGAGAGTCACCTACCTGATCGCGTCATGCGACAGTTCGGACTGCAGCAGCCTATTCCCCAGAACTGTGACACTGTCGTGCGCCTTCACGACATTGACCGTCGGGGAAAGACGGAGACAAACTGGGCACTGGAGCATTGGCAGTATCTTCAGCTATGGGAGCAGCGGTTGGGTCATGTCGTTCAGGGTTATCCCATGCAGGGCGTTATGGATCATGACGATCCGTACATGGTGTGGTACAGGCTTATCACACGCCGTTTCATCAACCCCAGCTACACACCACCGTCTACCCATTACCACCCGGCACATGACGTCATTAGCGGATACGTGAGTTTCTTTTACTATACTTATCATCCTCATTTTTTTAACTTTTTTAAATATCATGTACTTGACTGATCGATGATTACTACAGGCGGCGGATATGGTGGCGATGTATGATGCACTGTCCCTCGCCCTTACAGACGGACCCACCAGAGCCCAGGTCCAGCGGATGCGAGATATGTCCGCGACTTCCTTACGCAGACATATTCACGGTCATCTCATCCAACAACGGGACGGTGATGATGGTCACTCCATCCATTCGCGGTTCGACCCCGGCCAGAGTAGCAGTGGAGGTATCCTACGTCGCACACAGAGGCAGAGGAGTACATCTTCCACAGTTCTGCACCCTTCAGAACCCAGGAGGACGCATCGTCCAGCCAGCTCACTCCCCCCCTCGCGCCGGAACCCATTCACCACCATTCACCATTACACTCGGCGTCGTCCAAGACGAAGGGACAACAGTGAGGCTAGGGAAGGGTTACACCAAATTGATGAGTAGTGAACGTATTGTATCATTGCTTTGTCCTTTTTCCTGGAATGCTGTATATAGCGATTGCATTTCAATATAAGACATGCTGGTTGAATGAATCTGTTTGTGTTTTGAAGTTTTGTTTGCTTATTTATCCAAATCGGATTTATTTCAGTCAAAATAGTTCCTTCAGGGCTAATGTACATTAAACAACAGACATTTGGAATCCATAGTCGAAAATGGGGAAGAAAGGATGGCCCGTGGTGGTTAATGTGGTTGTTCATGGTGGTTTTAGTGTTGTTGGTTGTGGTGGGTGGTTATCGACGGTTGTTGAATGGTTGGGGTTGGTGGTGGAGCTGGTTGAAGTGTTGTTGGAGGTCAAAAGTGGTGGCAGATGGTGGTCGATGGTGGGGGTTGTTGGTGGATTGTGGTGGCAAGAATCATGGCAGGGGGTGGTGGGTGGGGGCAGAAGAAAGTGGCAGATCAGTGGCAAAAGACTGATTCTGCTGCTGTTTTGCACACCAGCAGAGAAACGCTGTCCCAGACAGCGTTTTAGGTTGAAAATAAGACGCTGTCTGAGACAGCGTTTTAGGTACAAGAAAGTTTGTACATAAAGCGCTGTCTGAGACAGCGTCTTTGGTATAACTGTTTTTGTTTTTCAAAAACATTTTTATAAATAAAAGGCAATTACAAAATTTTTTTAAAAAAAGGTCAACAACAAAGACGCTGTCCCAGACAGCGTTTTTAGGTTGATTTTTTTTTTTAAAAAAACCCAGGCATAAAACGCTGACCGAGACAGCGTTTTAGCCTGGAAGCTTAGTTTGATAAATACTTTTGCCACGCAACCATTTTGGTTAATATTTGCCAAAATTGACTCACTTTGAAAAAACGTCCAACAATTCTTTTCAATCGCAAAAAATTCCCAATTATTACCAAACAACTGTATTCTTGATAAACCCAAAAAATCGTTTTGCAGAATCAGGCAATTAGTGAAGCTATTGAGAGTTAATCCCTTTTCAATTGATCATAGATTTGATAAATTATGTCTCTTCCTTCAATTGAATATGCATATTTGACGGGTGATTTTCTTCGCCAATTGAAAGATGGAGACCCTAATTTGAAATTGCCAAATCCCGTTTCTGTTCTTCGCTTCGTTTTCGAGCTCGTGTCGTCTATGGTTTCTTTCTATTCTTTTCTGTCACTGAGTTGAGTTTATTTTTTTTTTGAAATTTAGAATTATTTTGTAAGTTTAATTTGTGGGTTTTTGATTTTTCAGGTATATGGTACTTTGCCGTTTCAGAAATGTAAAGCGGCGTTGGATGCGGTTGAGTTTTCTGATGTTATTTCAGAGGAAGAATTAGGTTCTTATTTCGCGGATATTGTTACACAACTGGCTCTTGATGTGAGTTTCGAATTCCATTACTCGTATTTTCATGTCTTAAAGTCTATTATATGTTATGGAAGACTATACTCTAATCAGGAAATAGTATATGTTTTAGCTCGTATAAACTTTCAATTTTGATCTGCTTCTTCCTGTTTATTGTTAAATGCTATTTCGGGTTGACTATTACTTTTACTTGTAGCAAGGAGTAAGAAACTGTTTAGAACTATGACTGCCTTGTGCTTATGGTCTACCGGGTTTTAATTTTAAGAGTCTGGATACTTTTACGGACCTTTGGTTGATGCCATTGTCACATGAAAGTGTACCACTGCTATGTTATTATGATGTCTAACTCAGTGTACGGATGCAAAAAGGGTAGAGTACGTGTGCATACCCCCTCCTACTCATGTGTGATTACATGTACAATATCCATACCCATTGGTATAAACTATAAACCTGTATTGGATATTTAAAACCTTTAAATACCTGCCTATGACTAGGATATCTCATTTACTATTGATTATTTATCAATGTAAAGTAGTTTACAAGTATAAATCAAAGAAACCACATTAGGTTTGAGTTTTGTGGCTAAAAGAGTGATGAGTAATAGTAATGAGTTTGACATCATATAGGCTTTAGGTTAGGGCTCATGAGCTGTCAAGAGTGTTGACTTCCATATTTAAGCTTGGATTAGTTTACCTAATTTTTATGGTACAAGGTTTTGTTGGGTTGGCAAGCGGTTATGGGCCAAGTGGACGGGCGAATGAGAGGCGAGTTGAGCTAGATTTGTGGTAGGTGCGGTTTCAAATTTACTAACCTAATGACTATCTATAGTGGGTGTGGTTTTGTATTCATATTCGCCTACTAGGCTACTACCCTTTGGCTGGAATGAGAGGCGGGTTGAGCTAGATTTGTGGTAGGTGCGGTTTCAAATTTACTAACCTAATGACTATCTATAGTGGGTGTGGTTTTGTATTCACATTCGCCTACTATGCTACTACCCTTTGAAGTCGTAACTAATCCACTTGTAGAATTCCAGAAATTGTATCCACTTGTTGTCCTTACCTTCTTTGTTTACCATCCTTTTGATTTTTTAGAGAGAAGAGGGGGATTGTAAGCCTGTAAGGTGGTAAGATTCCTTCTATATTGATTGACCATGCCATATGAAATGGGGTATAAATTGCCTTTTATATTGAATACTCATTGTATGCATTTTATCTCTTAGTTTTACATGCTCTCATGATTGGTTATTATACATAGAATAGTTAGTATGTTTTCTTAGGTGAAATTGATAACATCAATTATATAACTAGGGTCATTACCTTGGTTTTAAAAAGCGCGCCTCTGGAGCGCCTCGCTCCCAGGCTTTGGGAAATGGGCTTTAGCTAGGTGAGGCTCAAGCGCACCGCCTCAAAGTGCCTTTGGTAAGGTGTGCCTTTGCGCCTCAAGGAAAATAACTAAGATTTAAGTTATAAATTGAAGAATGATGGACATTTTTTCAAATTCAGACTACCTTAGCTTTACATATATCATTATTTAATTTATTATGAATCTTTTCAATTGGTATTAAGTACAATCAAAGTAAAAAATAATTTGAAATAAATATATAAATACATGCGCCTTGCATACAAAAGGCGCGCGCCTTGCACCTCGCGCCTTCGCCTTGCGCCTCGCGCCTTCGCCTTGCGCCTCGCGCCTTCGCCTTGCGCCTCGCACCTTCGCCTTGCGCCTCGCGCCTCGCGCCTAGGCTACAAGGTCCATTTGTGCCTTGGTGCGCCTTGCACCTTTTAAAACTAAGGTCATTACTATACGCTTGAAATTTTACACTATTCACACACTCCTATGATAATCTTTGATGATTTAGACCTTAGGGAAACCCGAAAAATGTAGTCATGTGAGATCTTGTTTGATATGTCTCTATATGAAAACATCATTTTTTTTATTAAAAGATAATTAAAAGTAATAATGTAAGACATGGATTGACAAACATGAAACTCCAAACATTATTTAAAACTAAAAAGAAGTATTAACTATAGATTATCCCAACTATTTGGGTAATTTCTCTAACCAATCCTTAACTTAAAATAGTTAATATTTCCACATTTTATGTTTTCAACGGTTCTACTTTAAAAACATTTTTTAACCCCTTTGCGTATCTTCTTTCTCAAGTCTCTTTATCAATCCACATTTCTCTCTCTCTCTCTCTCTCTGCCACATCCTCCGAGAACCCAAACTATCTCCAATTTCTAACTCACTTGAACCACCGCCTGATTTTCGCTTCCAGCCAATCTCCGCACACCTACCTTCAACCTTGCCTTTGCCTTGCATAGCTTAGACCTTGCAAATTTGACAAAACCCAACACGAATTTAATTTCCTGAAAGTTGAAGAAAAGAAGATAAAAAAAGATAGAGAGAGATAAGGAGATTGAAAGAGAGAAAATATGGGGGAAGCTGGGGATGAAGATGGATTTTGGTTAGTTGAATTGAAGATTAAGAGTAGATGAATTAGATTAGGTCGATTCATTGGTAGGTTAGGGTGAATTAAATTAGGTGAGAATTAGTGATTAAGAAAATCTGATTGTAGTTGGTAAATTGTGTGTTAATTTTTTAAATGAGGGTAATTTGTTCAATTTGATAATTTTATTTTATTTTTATTTACTAGAAGAGGAAATAATTTTTTTTGTTGCACATAATGTTGAGCGTCCATTTTTTTTTTTGCAAATGTTGCACATAATGTTTAGCGGAGGTATTAGATGTACTAATCGGATTGCATTCTTAATATCAAATAACCTGGAGTGAATTAGCATGAAAGACGTACCTGTTCTTTAATTATGAGAAATAGAGTGTTGTCTTAAATAAACATTGATGGGGATGTTGGAGGAGAATCATAAATCGCGGAGGGGACTGGAGAGGAGGAAGGGGAGGAGAGAAGAATGAGAGGAGGAAGTGATGTTGGTTGCCCTTTTACAAGGGCAGGTTGGTGGCTTCATGAATCTGGTTAGAGACTCTTCCCATTGTCAAAATGTTGTGGCAGACTGGCAGTAGGAAGGGGCTGAAAGCGGTAGGGACAATTGATAATTGTTTTGGCACCATTGACACGGGAATGTAAGGGTGGGTGATGGTTACGTGGAAGATACAATGTGAAGATAGAAGAAATTCTTAGAACCTATTTCGTCATTTCAAAATTTAAAATAACCCCATTTAGGTGTTTACAACTCACATGAGAGCATGTTGGGAAGATACTCTTATAGTTGAGATTGTCCATATTTGATCGAAAGATGGGATAATCTAATGTGGAATGACTATAATTTGGGGTGATGTTGTCAATCTTCCCACTTTCATATAGCTTTCTATATTCTTTTGATTATATTATTGCACCATTATGTACCATTGCTCATTGTTTTTCTATCATTTTGATTTTATTTCTTTAATTGATATTCACAAATGTAATTGCATGCAGCTTACCATGTCCGGAGAAATTCGTGCTCGCCTAATCAAATTGGTTAGTTGTGCATTTGTTGTTTTTGCTTTTTAAATATTGGGCTAGTGATGATATAATTCCTCTTCCAAGCCTTCAAAACATGTCCATTAAACATCATGCAGTTTGGCATTTGATATAGCTCCTCCTTGTTTAAGCCTTTTATGCTTTCTATGGGGTTACCTAAGCTCATGATGCATGTTGTTAAACTCATTTCTTTGAGTTTTTATTAGAGAGAAAAGTTGAAAGAATTTCGAGTTGACTTTTTAGGGACTTGGTTAGTCGCGCCGTAATGTACTTTTATTTACCTTTCCCATATACTATACCCTTTTACCAAAATTTGTGCACTTAACCAGATTTTTATGCTATTAAATGTCATTATATACTCTCCATCTACTATACTTATGGCCTTAATTCCAGTATAAGAAAAAATAGAATTGGGCACTATAATATGGGGCGAGGGAGTAGTTATTTTACAAACTTGCTGTTGGCTATCTGATGCGTCTGCTTTTGGGTTGTCTACGTGATGCTTAAGCTAATTGCATCAAGTGTAACCTCATGTACTGTGTAGCTATGCTTATATAAAATATCCCAGTTGGTTGGAGTTTTGTAGATTACATAATCCCTCTGTACTGTATCACTATGTGCTATTCTTGCATCATTAATTTTGTATTACTAAGGGCTTGTTTGGTAGCATTTTCCTTTTCCAGCTTTTGGTTTCCTTAAAGTAAATACCATTTTAGTTGTAATAAAAAATAAACCTAAGTTAAAGTTATTAAATTAAGTTTATTTTAGGCTGCCTTCAAAAATTAAATTACATAAGCTTGTTAAATTACATACAAAATGTGATTTTCGTCATTTGCGCACTTTGTCTTACTCACATGTGTTAAGTTTTTCTTCAATTCGATCCTTAAAGCAAAAGGATGACTGTTCAATCAACGAATCACTAATTCGTTACAGTTGAGAAAGTCTGAGATAGTTTTGAAGCAAAACATCACAGGCAAATTTTTTATGGGTTTTATGTAATTGTAATAGATCATCTTTCTCTTTGTTTTAGTATTACGTTTTTAGTTGTCAAGATTAGAATTGCAAGGGGGGAGAGAACATGTACAAAATCGCCCTCACCATAAACAGCATTTCTGGCCACTTTTAACGATAGAGGAAGGGGCAATGATAGCTGGGGTTAACAAAAAAAAGGAAAAAAAAACCCAAACCTAATCATACCACTTAATATGGTTTTTTGATTTTTGCTTTGGTTTCTCTGTAATTGCTTGGAATTTTTTGTTTTAGTTACAACTTCTGTTCTATTGGTGCACATGGATGAGTTACATGAATTTTCATCTAAGTTGAGAAGTCCTTTGGCATAATCGTTGGCCCCCTCTTATTACACATCTGACTTTGAATGTAATTGTCTGTTTATGCTCTGGCTTAGGCAAGGTGGCTCGTGGAGTGCTCACTAGTTCCAGTGAGGTTTTTTCAGGAGCGGTGTGAGGTTTGTTATTGCATTTCTTGTTTCGATTTTGTTTAAGAATTATTTTATGCTATAATTTTTTTACTGTTTTATTGCGTACGCTTCAGGAAGAATTCCTCTGGGAGTGTGAAATGGTCAAGATAAAGGCTCAAGAACTAAAATCTAAAGAGGTTTGCAGTTGGGTTATTCTTTTATGTTTTGTCATGCCATCTATCTGTGTTCTTGTTTTGTACATACCTTTGTATACATCTTGGTTTTTTTTTTTTTTTTTTTTTTTTTTAATTTTTTTTTAATATTTTTTTTTTTAATTTATTTTATTATTAAGTTTTAGTCTGTATGAAAGCAATTCTATTTAGTGTTCTAGCTTATCAGGGTTCATTAATTTTGATTCGTCCATCTCTCTCTCTTCTTTTACAATTTTCTTTCTTAAATGCATTAATGTAATATCCACCCACCATTATTTACTTGCTTCTCACTGGGTAGCTGATTGGATTATTAATTCATTATAATGGGAGTTTTAATGTAATTGTTTTCAAAGTATATCTTTTTTTTTTTTTACTATATGACTAAGCTTTCAAATTAGCAACCAGTAAAGTGCTTATACTTCAATTGTTAAAAGCGAAAGTACGTATTGGTGAGACAGTTACTCAGAAAACAAAAATTGAAGTCTGGTGTTCTTTTATAATACTCTATACCATTAACTCTTTGTTTGGATAACTACAGTGAAGGGAAAGGGAGGGAAGGGAAAGGGAGGTAAGGGGAAGGAGAAGGTCAACTTCTATTTTCCTTCCAAATCTCTCCAACAATGGAGGGATTTGGTTTATATTAAAGGGAAGGAAAATGGATCCTTTCTATTCTCTCCCCTCCCCTTCTTGCATTAGGTATCCAAACAAAAGATGATGCATCCTTTTTTTTTTCTCTTCTCTTCCTTTCCCTTCCTTTCTCTCTATCCAAACATAGTGTAAGTTTGCTTTTGGCAAAAATTACTCAACTCTCTCTCTCTCACCTTTTTTTTTGGTTAGTAATATCTCTTATTGGGTTAAAGGCTTTATTTATTTATTTTTATTTATTTTATTTTTTGTTTTTTGTCAGCTGACATTTCTTATTTAATTGTTGTTTTTGTCGTTTCAGGTTAGAGTAAATACTCGTCTGTTATATCAGCAGACAAAGTTCAACCTCCTTCGAGAAGAGAGTGAGGGCTATGCCAAGCTGGTATGTATCCTGAGAAAAAAAAAACATTAACTGTGATGATGTCGATTATGGGCTTCATTGGTCAGAGTTTTTGATAATAATTATTCCAAGCAATGTACTGTGAATGAGTTTGTTTTTTTGATTCAATTTACTTTTTTTTTATAAAGGTAAAATTTGAATGAGGAATTTAGATTAGTTGTGTCAAATGAAAAAACCACTACTTTGCTCTTTGTTTTATTCATGTCTTCAGACATTTACATAATCTTCTTGTCACTATTTTTCTTAGATTTTTTATTTTATTTTTATTATTTAAATTAAGGACCCTCTTTTCCGTTGTCCTTATTGATTGCAATTCTCATTGATTTGGAAGGAAAGAGAAGACGTTGTGAAAGACCTTATACTTGAATGTTTGTTTCATGTGATTTCTTTTTGTGCATTGAAGCAATTATTTGCTGCATGATCTTCCCTGTGTGAGATTGTTTGAATTATCAAAGTTGCTGAGGATTATGTCTTGAGAATGTTGTAATTGCATGACTGTTTGCATGTTCATCATTTGTGTTTCTCACTGCTGCTTATGCTATATGCTGTAGGTAACCCTTCTTTGTGAGGGTTCAGGGGATCCTAACTCATCGTCCTCAAAGATTGGCACTATTAAGGTTTAATTCTTTCCCTTTTTGTGATATTGTCAGTGTTATTATATTTCTGCTTGAACTGACCATGTAAATTTTGCAGTCTTTGATTGGTCACTTCGATTTGGATCCAAATCGTGTTTTTGATATTGTAAGTTGGTGCTGATTATCACCTGAAATAGGCCTATGCATATGGTTTTTTATGTTTTGCATATTTTTGATTAATTCTATTGTTCATCTTTTTAGGTCATGGAGTGTTTTGAATTACAGCCTGACAATAAGCTTTTCTTGGATCTCATTCCAATTTTCCCTAAGGTTTTTAATAAGTCAATTATATTTTGATTGGTTAGTGTTGGTTTTCTGTTTGTGGTCAAGGCTTACCAATTACCATGTTGCCAACTTTGTGCAGTCACATGCTTCTCAAATTTTAGGTTTCAAATTTCAATATTACCAGCGTATGGAAGTGCAAAATCCTGTACCTTTTGGACTGTATCGGCTTGCTGCTTTGCTTGTCAAAGAAGACCTTGTTGATCTTGATAGCATGTGAGTATTTGTGTCCTAAGCTGAGTATTCCAATGGTACTTGTATGTTTGCTTGTAGCCTTTTCTTCTTTGTCTCCTGTTTTAAAAGATCACTGTTGTACTTTTTGCAACTCATGCCCCTTTGGCCTTTATGCATAATAAGGGTTAAAAAAGAAAGGAAAAAGGCATTATTAGTATAGATGAGGAGAAAATAATTGACTTAAGTGTCTCTTACTTTTAATCAGGAAAAGAGCATATTGTGTATCTTGTTATTTTTATGTCTGGTTGCAATTGTTGCCCAACTAATTGCATTGTACATGGATTGTTGACTTTTTCTTGAAGCAGAGTGAGGATGAAACTTTCCTTGCAAAATTTCAAGTTATACTACCTTGGTTTAGTAGTAATCACAACAATTTGACTTTTGCACTATACTTATGCTTACTTTGACTATACTTAGTAATAATAGCTAAACTTAAAGGTACAATTAAAGTAACATGATGTAGTTTGCATACAGCGGTATACAAACTCTTGTAGACTTTAATAAAGACTGCACTCAAACAAATATAGACTTGGGAGCATGATTGGTGTGGAATTTTTTGTAACAATTTTTAAGTGCCTATATTGAATTTCAATTTTGCTATTACAGTTTTGTCTGTAATGACTCTATTATGTTGGTTTGTGCACATTTAATGATTAACTCTACGCATCTTACTCTCTACTACTTTCAGTAGAGATTGTCTGTGGTATGTAATTATTGGGATTACAAATTATAGTCATGTAGTTTTCCTTCTCTCTTCTGCATTGTGAGTATGTGATTTTAATTTAGGATGGATGTATCTCGTCTCCCTTTCTCTTTTGTCAATAATCACTAAAAAAAGGTACTGTTAGATAGTCAGGATAATCACTTTGATAATTTTTGGTAATTATGTTCTGCTTTTGTTTTTTTTTTTTAGATTTGTTTTATTTCAAGTCCCTGTTCGCTGCTTTGAGGTCTCTCAATCTGGATATAATGTATTAATTCAGCTGGATGATGTATAATCAACAATTTAATATTTGCAGATATGCACATTTAATTCCCAAGGATGAGGAAGCATTTGAAACTTTCAATGCCATTAGAACGAAGCGCCTTGATGAGGTTTGTTATCAGATAATTAACATCCCCCCCCCCCCCCCCAAACAACAACTAAAGAAAAACAAATCTGCAATTTGAATTGGCCTATGGCTATTGCGTATTAGTTATAAACTAATGAGGAAAGTCGGTAAATGTGACAGGGATCTTACTTTCCTGGAAATTATAGAAGCGAATTAAATGGAAGGTTTACTTGGTCCATTAGTTTTTGACAGATGGAATATATTGTTCTAGTATGTTTCATCCTTAGACATATAGTCCCTTTCTCATTTTTGTTGTACTCACTTTGGTTTAATTTATTTTTCATACTTCATTTACTATCTCACATTTCTTACCCCACAATAATCACTTTTCCACATTCTCTCTTACTTTATTCACCTTTTTCTTATTCCCATCCACTATTGACATTCTTTTTCTGTTACTTTATTCTACTTCATCTTACACCCATTCACTGATTCACCTTTTTCAATAATTTTTTTAACATAAACATAAAATAATGAAGGTAGAACAAATCTAATAAGGACAAGCTGCAATGCCTTTTTCTCTTAATAGCCTTTCTATAAACACATAATATGTTTTGTACTATTTACATTTTGGACAAGCAGGACAAAATCTGTAGGCATTGGTTTAGAGGGAATTTTACCTATGGACAAGTTTTTTTGCATCAAACCTTGCCTTGAATGATTTGGCTTGAAAGAAATTGTAAGGTGTTAGATGCCTTTGTCCGTAATCTTTGGAAGCCTCTAGCATTTTGAATTTTACCAAACGTAGAAAGAATGAAAAAAAGGATTTTGATTTGCAGTTTTTTTCCTTCGGTATACCAAGGTCTCACCGTGACATATAGCATGAACCTTGGCATACCTGTTACTCTTATCTTAGACAATCAATTAGTTGAAGTTGGTGCAGTCAGAACTTAAAATTAAGCAACTTGTTGCTCATAGGGTTAGTGAAACATCCTTTGTAGTTTGCCGTTAAAAAAATAATTTTGATATGTTAAGGAATATTAAATATATGATCATATAAATATATAATGATTAACAACGAACACTTTAGAAGGAATGTTTTTGTGAGCGATTAAATATTAGTTTGTTCACTTTTAGGCCAATTTCTGTTCACCTTAAAAAAAAAATTGGTAAAAATAATTACAGTTCACTGAATATAATTTTAGTTCAGTAAAAATAATTCTGGTCCAATAAAAATAATTTTAGTAAGTAAAAATAATTTTTAATTTGTTAAAATCAGTAAATTCAAAGTACAAATATACTACTTAATAGAGAATAAATTTTATTCAGTTTAGTAAAAATTATTTCAGCAAAAATAAGATGAAGAGAACAAGGCATTAATCAACCAAATCCACTATCTTTTTATTTATATTCACCTTTATTCATCAAACCCCGCTATCTTGTTATTTTTATTCATCTTTCTAAATCTTGTGCAAAAGTCAAATGGGACTCCTACTCGTGGATGGAAGGATTAATTTTATTTATCGCACTGGTGATTCACACTCTTAAAATGGAGATGATGGTTATGATTTCTATAAGATGGTGGTTATGATCTCTAAATTGAGTTGTTTCAATTTTTTTTCTTATAGAATTTGCTGCTTTATCTAGGATGCGTTTCATTGTGTTGGCTCATTGTATCAGGCTAACAAGATTGGAAAAATAAATCTAGCTGCAACGGGAAAGGATCTTATGGATGATGAAAAGCAAGGAGATGTGACTGTAGATCTGTATGTCGCTTTAGAAATGGAAAATCAAGCTGTCAATGAATCTGTATCAGAGCTCGAGGACTGCCAAACACTAGGCTTGCTTACTGGTTTCCTTCTTGTGGATGATTGGTATGCGACTAATCATTACCTCCCTAATGGAAAGAGGGAAACATGCTTGTTGTTTCCCTACTTCGACATTTTTTTCATCGTTCCTTGCTCTTAAGTTTGTTATAAGTTACTAGTTTGTTGTTTGCTTTGTTGCTCTATTGTTATGGTTCAATTTTCATTTTTAGCTTAATGTGGTAGGTATGATTTGTCTTTTCGCTAACCACATGAGCCCCAAACATTGGCCTTTGGGTTTTTTTTTTTTTTTTTTTTTTTTTTTTTTTTTTTTTTTTTTTTTAAATTCCAGGTTGCTATTAGATTAATTGTCCCCTTAGCAAAAATACAAAAATGTCCCATTTTAAAATAGATTAATGAGAATATAAATAAAAATAAATTAATGGTTTGCATAAAAAATAATTATATTTATAAACCATAATTGCCATGTTCTAGTACCTTTGGTCAAATATAAGATAGTCCGTGTGCCCTAAGCTTTTTTAATTGCCATATTAGACACTTGGATCCAAATCTGAGTCTCCATAGCATAGTGGTTACGTTTTTTTTATCTTACAGCAAGATCTTTGTTTGGGTGAGATTTATTGTTTACTGAAGTATTATTTCTATTGCATTTGGGAGGAGACATTCACTATGCATAATGCATTTTGTTACTGTTCCCCTTCTCATGGAGGGCTAAATCAATATGGCTGGCATATTTCTTCTTTTGTTGTAGACTATGTCAAGTGAGGAAATTAGTGGCACATTGTATAGGTATTGTAGCATGTACAAGCACACCAAATTTCATGGAAAAAGGATAAAAGGTGGCTTATGTAAAACAATGACTGGATATGCTTGGTAATAATTTGGCAAGGGGTTTTGTACTACTATATAGGTTGGTGCAGGCATGGAGTGACTTTTTCTTTAGGAGTTTGATCTCGATGGATGTAGTGAGTATTTTAAAGTGATGTTCTCTCTTTTGAAAATTTAGTGTTCACTTGGGTATTAGGGATAGGAAGGCTCCTCAAGCTTCTATTATTTATTTTATATTGATAAGCAGTATTATTAACAAGATCCTGCTGGAAGTGTACATTATTATGGTATTAGATTGCTTGCAAGCCATTATAATATTTAAAGAGGAGAGAAGTATACTGATCTCTTAGGGTCGATGTTGCGCGTGACATGGATGCAAACTTAGAGGTTCTTAATTACTGGATTGTGGAAGATGGCTAAATAGTGCTTAATCAGGTATAGACCAATCGGGTCTGGTTCAAGTCAGGTCAGGGGTATTTCTGGTCGGGTTACTTTGGGTTCAGGTCAAGAAATGCTCTACCCCTAATGTTTTGGGGTTTGGGTCAACCCAATGGGTTTAAGAACTAATTTTTATTTAATTCATTTTTTGCTTATTATTAGAAATATTTGATTTTTAAGCTATATTTGTGGTTTATTTTTCAATTTTGTTAATATGTGGAGAATAATTTCTTGATATAATTTCTTTGTATCACTTAATTATCTCTTCAATTATATAATTGACATTGTTAATATAGGTGTATATAATCTTTTTGATTGTGTAAATAATTTCCTTATATAGTTGGTTATTATCTCTCTTACCTAACTTAAAGCATTACGTTATCTTCACTAACTATCTTTGTAGTACATATTATGTAGAGCTTATAAATGCAATACAATTCAACCTTAACATATAAAATAATGATTTTGTGTAAAGGACGTTAGCTATACAAAATTCAAACTTAATACTATCTAATAGCGGTCAGTGGAGGTTGGTGTGGGCTATGATGTGGTTGGTGGTGTGGCGTGTTTTATGCGGATGCAGGTTGTGCAGGTCGGTAGGTTAGTGTGGCTGTGTGGATGGCAGTTGATCTAAGAGAGAGATAACAGAGAAATGAATGTAAAATGGTAGATGGATGATCAAAATCAATCAAAGAACAAGATATTCATTGTCCAATAAATGTATATCTTAATTTTTTTTTAAAAACCCCACAAAAATGGGTCAGCGGCTCAGGTAGGGTTTGCCCAAAAAATTACGGGTTAAATGTGTTAAAGCAAAGTTGAATTTTGGGTCGAAAATGTTCAAAACCCGCAAAAGGCGGGCCGGGTAGAGATGGAAAGATAAGATCATATTTTGGTAGAGCTTGCTTGAGGTTGTTGCATATCTGGTATCAAGAATTAGCTTCAGTATGTCAAGAATCATCTTCTGAGTGGAACTTCAGTTTTCTTGATTGTATATATATTACAATGTAGCTTGAGGGTTTCATATATATTGTCTTTTCCTTATGTTGGTGATACCCCTCTTGGTGTGTTATTATTTAGTTTAATCTATACAAATAAAATACGAGTATTAAAGCACTTACTGATAATTTTCTCGACTTTTTTTTTGTAATCTGTTGCTTGAATGAGCCCATATCAGATAACCCACTTCTGGCTTACTTAACAGCATCGGTTCCTTTATTATTGTATTACAGGTATCATGCCAATATCTTGTTTGAGCGTCTCTCACCTCTTAATCCAGTGGCATATGCTCAGATTTGTGATGAGCTGTTCAGGTACACAAAGACATGTATCTTGTTTCTGTTGTTTGAGATTGGATACTTTTGATAATTTCATATCCTGTCTCCATCTGCTGTTGCTGTGTTTGATATAACATTTTATGCACTTATTACTTCAGTAGACATGAATACATAAAGTCTCTACTGAATTACTGATTGTTGAACATAATGCACACATGGAAAATTTTCCGGCTTACCTGTTTTGACATGAGCAGGCATATCAGTTTTGACATGAGCTGACTTAGACCCTGGTTCAGACTTCAGAGTACACGGCTTAGACCCTTGTAATAACACCTTAGTGTCAACATGAGCAACTGAAATGCGCCCTTGTGTTTTGACCTACAACAGTTGCTAATAAATGCCAGCCGCCTCCGTCAAGAAGAACGGCACAGCACCACAAAGCTGTTTGTAAACAGGCAATCGAGGGGAAGACTGGAGTTATAAACTAAAAGTTGACCAAGATTACTTTTAATTTAACCTTACCAGGATTTAAAAGTTAAACTGACCCCTAAGCTATTATATATTTTTTTTAATTTTTATAATTTGGTAAAATCTGACCCCAAAAATAAAAGTTGTAATTTTTTTTTGAATTCTAATGTGCTAGTCAGTTGAAATTGTGTGTTAAGATCTGTGGCAGATATTTCCGTATCCCTTCTTGGTAGCCCCACTTTGCTGCTCCCGTTGTTTTCCTTTTACTTGTTTCTATCTGTAGCATGATTTTAAATCTTGGATGCGATCACATGTCACAATCATGGTATCGGTCACATAACCACTTCCGCGGGCAATGCGGATGGAATGTGGCTATTGCGACCTGATATTTCGGTCATGGAAAGCTTGAAATCCTTTACAATACGGTTGTGATACGGTGATGTGGCTGAGATTTAATAAGATGATCCCTAGGGGCTGGACATACCCATGAATGTGGAGTAATTTTATCGTTGACGTCAGCCCTCTACAGTCTGTTATTTGGTTTTAGATTGTATCACATGCTTTGACTTTTATCAAAAATCATTTGTATGTTAGTGGCTCTTTAACTGATAAAGGTGTGATCTCAAGGCCTTGTAATTTCTTCATGTAAGCTAATGGAACATAATTATTAAAAAATGAGTTGGTATACTCTTATATGCATGTTCTCAATCTGCCTTAGTGTAAGTTAATTTCATACATCACTTATATGTAGTCTTATTCTTTTCCTAGCAGTGTCTATGAAGCATTAGATATTAAGTCATCTCAAAAAGGAAAAAGGCTTTTTATCTGTAGATTTCAATGATAGTATGATGCTATTAGTTATGTTATTGGTAGGCTAGTATTATTCGTATGTTTTACATAATTATTAAAATCATCATCGTCATTAGCACCACCATTATAATAGGTTTTACATAAGTATGACGGTGGTAGTTGTGGACTTTGGGCAATAGTAGTAGTAAGTGAGTAGTTCATGTTTCAAGAGTTTTGGAGACATCTTTTATATTTTTGAAAGTAACATATAGGTTAAGTACTCAACCTGTTAAAGTGCTAATTTTTTTTAGGTCTTAATCCTTTTGTCACTTTTACTGACTTTGTACATTTGATGTATTTTAGGTTGATTGGAAAATCAATTTCCTCAGCATACGATATTGTCCACAAAATGCATCTTGAGAGCTTCATGAATGGTCCAAGACTGTTGGAGAATGCAGATTCTTCAAAAAGCTCTCTCATTCTGCTACCTAAAGAGCTTTTTGAGATGCTTACCTGTGCTGGACCTTATCTGTATCGTGATACTTTATTGCTGCAGAAGGTGAGTGTTTTGTTTGCTTTTGTTCTTCAAGGTCCTTTTTTTTGTTTAAGCTTACTAACAATATGCTGTATGTGTGTTCTGTGAAGATCTGTAGAATATTAAAGAGCTATTACCTATCAGCTCTTGAACTCATTAGCAAGGGGGATGGAGCTCCTGGACCTATTATTGATGTTAATATTAATCCGCGCTTGCATCTAAGAGAAGCAAGGTCAAGAATCGAGGAAGCACTGGGATCTTGTCTGCTTCCTTCATTGCAGTTGGTACCTGCAAATCCTGCCATTGGACATGCAATTTGGGAAGTGATGAGTCTTCTTCCTTATGAGGTGTGGATTATATAAGTAGCCTAAGCTGTTTTGGTTATTTGGCATTCTTTTTGACTTATAATGAATAAGGTTGAATTATGTAGACAAGTGATGCCTTTGTTTTGATTAGGCAAGATATCGTCTCTATGGTGAGTGGGAAAAGGATGATGAACGGATACCTATGATTTTGGCAGCAAGACAAACAGCTAAGGTGTGCCCAATTATATGTTTGAAAATTATCAACTCTAAACAATAATCTATGTCTAATTCAAATTTTGATTTGTATTTCTAGTTGGACACAAGGAGGATCTTGAAACGGCTTGCAAAGGAAAATCTAAAACAGCTTGGTCGTATGGTTGCTAAGCTTGCTCATGCCAATCCCATGACTGTTCTCCGAACAATTGTTCAACAGGTACCTCATTATCTTTTTCTAGCAGCATATGTACTCATTTAGATTACATACAGTAAATTTTTTGGGGAGAGTTTCACTCATATTGCTCTTGCAGATTGAGGCCTACCGAGATATGATCATGCCAGTTGTGGACGCATTTAAATATTTGACACAGGTATGGTTGATCAACTAAGGCCATATTATTTTGTAACACCCCCGATTTACTAGCTAATAATAAACAATAAATTAAAGGAAAATAAATAACCTTTGAATAAAATTGCGGAAGCATACACCTAAATCAGAGGTATTACCGCCACACTCAACAACCTGTCAAGTGTTAAGGCTTACAAAAATCCCAATAATTACAGCCCAATAAATCTAAATGTGCTATTTGTACAACTCTATAAATTAAACTGGTTATAACAAACTAATCGAAACACTTGAGCTCCTTTAGCTACGATCATCTCTTGAACCTGTTACAATCTTAACTGCTCACCATTAAGGACAAATTCCAAAATAAATCGTCGTAGGGCCACCATAAGAAAAAGACATGGCCGCAAACACAAGTAGCACAACAAAATAACACACACGTCCTTCTGAGTAATCATCACATATCAGAGTACAAAGAATAATATAAAATAAGTCCCATTACTAGCTCATCAATTAATCAATGTAGTTCAAAACTACAGTACACAATGTACTCTGAAAATAAACTTTATCAACTCAACCTCGAATAATAATACGAACCTTTACTCAATCAACTCATATAACCCATAAGTGTGCCATGCTCGTTGTTCTATACCTAGCCTTGGACATGGGTGATGGGCGTTAGAACGGTCGTACATTCCACACTCAATCAAACACATTTATTAACAAACACCTTACAAACCAAGCATAATGACAAGTAAGAGTTCGGTCCACAAGGAACGGGATATGATTGCCAAAGATCTTACACTTAAGCTAACTCGAAGTCAATTGGTGAATTGGGGTTCGTCAAGAAGACAAACAAACTATGGTTCTAAATCAATGAATTAAAGATACTAGGGAATGAGATCCACTCAACCAAGGCAAATAGGCAAACGGGGAGTAAAATAGACAAGATATAGCAAGGACTATATGTAAAATCAACCTCATGCAATTAGAAAACAACTCACACTACTAAGCTTAGATTCCTCATTAGTTTAGCAATAGATGATACATAATCAAATTACAATAAGTAATGACGTACTCAATTTACACTTCCATGTCAAATTAGGCATATCATACTATCAAGCTCCTTAGTCAAGGGTAGCTAAACCTATCATGAGGAACTAACAAGCAATCTCATATAATCAATTTAATTGCAATACAAACATCAATGCTTCTCCCACATTTGCATAGTTAACCCAAAAGGTCGGGCTTCACCCAACCCCTAGCAAGAAGACTACTCACAACTCATGTTTATCAACATGCCATCAAGAATTAGGGTTCTAAATACTTCAATAATTGGGGAAAAGTGGTTAACAATTGAAATAACTATCATCCAATAACAAATTACCAAGAACTAAGAAGATTTAAATAACATGCAAATACCAAATAAAATCTGAAATTAAAAGGAAAAAGGTTGGAGAAATTACTAATTGAAGCTTCAAATGTTGAATACAAATTGCCAAACTTTGAGAATAATTCTTGAATTTCACTAATACAATGATTTAATTTGATGAAAACTAAGCTAAATTAATCCTAAGGAATGTTTCAAACTAAGAGTGGTTTCTGAAAACTAGGCTACTGTCCTTCTTCTCTCTTTTTTAAACGATCTCCAAAAGGACCTTAAATAGTCCGTACAAAATTGGCTGAGATCGGGAAAAGGTCCGACCGAACTCTGGGTAGGTTCGGTCGGACTCAGGGTAGGTTCGGTCGAACCCTGTGTAGGTTCGGTCGAACCTCCCTGATCCTTGTTTGGTTGAACTTTTGAGGTTCGACCTCTCCTGCAAAATTGCTGAAAACTGGTTTGACACTGCCTTCACTGCACCATGAGGTTCGGTCAAACTTTTAAAAAGTTTGACCACACCAAGGTTCGACCGGACCTTTCAGAGGTTCGGCCACACCTCCTCTTGCACTTCCTTTTCTTGCTTCCTCTCCTTCCCTTTTGCTCCTCTTGCCTTTGTCCATGGCTTCCATACTTGGCCAAGGGGCCTCCCACCGTGCATAGGACCGTCATGGAACCTGCAGAAGATACCAAAGTTCACGAGAGCATGGGGATGATAAAATAATGCATAAAGATTATCAAAATAAGCGCAAATAAGCATTACTTTTCATCAACACAAAAAGAAGCCATAAGAGGATAATGAGGTGGAAAAACCTAAGAAAAATAAGAGGAAAAAGACCTAAATACTACCCCTAAGAGTGACATAAATGTCACTCATCAATAGGTAATTCGAATAAAACCAACAAGTATAAAAAGTTGAATACTCTCAATAATAAGAAAACACCTTGAACCAGACCACATACGAGCCAAATTCCCACTGTAGGGGACCATAGTAAAATAAAGGAAAATTTCACATTTACTACCATGGAAAACACCCGTGTTCACCTTTGCTACCCCTTTAATTTTTTATTTTTTATTACTACCACACAAACACACTAACTGTTAAAATCACTACCACTTAACGGAATCCGTTAGGATTTCCGTTAAGTTTATTAAAAAAAAAATTAAAAAAAATAATAAAACAAAAAATAAAAGCCAGCCACCCAAAAAACCCTAGCCCTCCCCGTCAGCCACCCTCCCCCTGCCGGCGGCCAGCTCCCAAAGATGCGGCGGCCGGCGTTGGAATCGAACCCCTCCACTTCCCCACCCAAAACCGACAACCCTAACCCTTATTTCCCTGCCCGAAACCACCACCACCGACACCACCGTAACCCCCAAACCCGGCGACGCCCCATACCACCACCACAACACCATCCTAACCCCCGACCACCACCACCTACGTGCTTTCCCACGAACCCACTGCCAGACCACCACCACCCATAAACCCACGAACCCACTCAAACCCACGAACCAAGACCACCACCTACCGAAACCACCAAACCCAAACCGGTCGGAATGGGTCTGGGATCGGGTTTCGAGGGAAAGGGGCTGGGATCAAGGTTTGAAGGGGAAGGGGCTGGAATCGGGGTTTGGGTTGGGTTTTCGAGGTGATCGGGGCGGGAAAGGGGCCGTTTTCGGCAGCCTTGGTGGTTGTGTGAAGGTGAGGAGGTGTTGGTGGCGTTTGGGAAGGAGGTGGGCTGCTGGTGGAGTTCGTGGCTGCCGTGGGCTTCTTTGGCCGTCGGCGTTGATGGGAAATGGAGGTTGGATGGTGGCAATGACGGTGGTTGAAGATGCACCGGTGGCTGTGAGGTGGTTGGGCTCTACTAACGGAAATAGTAACGGCATCAGTGAAATGGTAGTGATATCAAAATTTTTGGTGTTTGTGTGGTAGTAATATAAAATAAAAAATTAAAGGGGTAGCAAATGTGAACACGAGTGCTTTCCCAGGTAGCAAATGTGAAATTTTCATAAAATAAATAAAGATTGTACCTCATTCTTCACTCATGATCATTATCTCATTACCAACATACCAAGGACTAGGTCTATAACGCTAAGCCTCAAACCAAGAACAAAATAAATAATTCTCAACCTTTTGATCTCATACTTGATCAAATAATCATTCACAAATTAATTTATAATATCTCAACAATGGCACGGTTCCCAAATAACATAACAATTCGAACTCGATTCAATCATAGTATGTCTCAACCCTTATAGGGCAATAAAACTAATACCCAAATATAATAAACTCACAACCCAAAAATAATACTCTGCAATGGTAACCTTTAAACCTCAAAAATAATACCCAAATATAGCAACAACATTAAAAAACCCTAGAAATAATCAATCATAAACAATAAAAGTAATACGATACTCATATCCAATCAAATCATACGATATCATATATCTTAGTTTTAAAAAGCGCAAGGCGCACCAAGGCGCAAATGGTCCTTGCAGCCTAGGCGCGAGGTGCTGGGGCGCAAGGCAAAGGCGCGCGCCTTTTGTATGCAAGGCCCATGTATTTATATATTTATTTCAAATTATTTTTTACTTTGATAGTACTTAATACCAATTGAAAAGATTCATAATAAATTAAGTTACGATATATTTAAAGCTAAGGTAGTCTGAAGTTGAAAAAATGTCCATCATTCTTCAATTTATAACTTAAATCTTAGTTATTTTCCTTGAGGCGCAAAGGCGCGCCTTACTAAAGGCACTTTGAGGCGCGTGCCTTTCGTAGGTGACTGAGCCTCACCTAGCTAAAGCCCATTTCCCATAGCCTGGGAGTGAGGCGCGCTTAGGCGCGCTTTTTAAAACCAAGTCATATATACGTACACAATCACAGATAATAAATCATACAATTCACACATAAGTATACAAAATATAATACAAATTAAACAACTCCAATATAAGGTTCGTGTGATTACGTATAACAAATAATAAATAACGAGTGTGATTACCTTTCAACAAATAACAATCAAATCACAATATTCAAGGCAAGGTATATGGAGCACCGTTGCAATTTGCGAGCTTTGACTATACAAATCCAATGGAGTTTGGAGAATAATGAAAGAAAAACTTTTATGAATAATCAAGTTTGGGGTTGGGTCATGGAGGTCACGCACAAGATACCTACGGCAAACCCCCCCCCCCCCCCCCCTTTTTTAATAAAAATATGTTTTGAGAGGTAAATAATATTTTTAGGGTTAAAAATAGTTTATATACGTTTTGAATTGTACAATGGTATTTAAACAAGATAGGGTTTTAAAACTTTACGAAGTCTAAATAAAAAATATGAGATAGGAAAAGTTATGTAATAAATAAATATTTTTGTAAAATATTTTATATAAAATCATAAAATATTCGGGTATTACATATTTTTTATTTTATTGCATACCCTCCTTAAGGTTGTTATTGTCTTTCTGAGAGCAGAATTTGGAGCTTTGTGCTGTGTGGGTTATGTGGTGGGGTTACTAAACTTTTGATTTTGGATGACTATATTCCTAACTGTAAGACCAATACATAAAACTGAAATAGTTGGAAGTTAAGATCAATTTAACAAATTAGTTTAAATATTGTGACATCATACAAATTTTCTTTTTGAGTCTTTAAGCAAGAGCACAAGGATTACTTAGGTTTGTTAGAATTAGCACTAAAACTAAGTTTAAAGTTATTACTTTGATTAATTATTAAATGGTTTGAGTTAGCAATCTCAAAAGTCCAACACGGTTAGTACAACATGAAAACAGGAAATATTTTTGGTTTGGTTGTGAAGGGGCAATGTAGATGAGCAAGAAGTGGTTCTTTGAAGGGGGAAGCAGTTTAGTATGTGACCTACCCGTGTCCAACCACGACCAACCACGACCTACCTGTGGCCAACATTTGTTTGGATGTGGCTTTGGCATGGAAATGAGTTTTCTTATGGATGAATTTCTCGCTTGTTTGCTATTAAGTTTCCATAGTTTTGTTTATTTAGGACTAAAGTAGTTATATTGTATTTAATTGTAATTAATTTAGGAAGATAATATTTAGTTACTTAACATCCTTTGAATTCTAGATACCATTGACTTAAGAATGCATAAGACTTGTTGAAGGGTTAGGTCTTAATGCCCTACAAAAAGGGATCATGGTTCTTTTCTTTTCAATGCACATCAGGGCCCTCCTTGAGTTATAGATTGTATGAATTATTGGGTCCATAACATATAACAACGGTGGTGGTAAGTTAAATAGAGAGAAGAAGGGGGCGGTGGTGCGGTAAAATGAAGGAGAGTGGCGGTGGTAAAGAAGGGGTCGCGACGAGTCAATGTGGTGGTGGTGAGTTGTGGTTATGAAAGTGAATGTGTACATGGTGTTGCAAGGATGAGAGAAGAAAGATATAATAAATTACCAAACAACATTCCATATCAAAGGAAGTTACATTCCCTCTTCATCCCTTTCTTTAACTCATTCTCTTTCCCTTTGTTTAACCAAACGCCCCCTTAGTGGTCTTCAGTGGCATGGGTTAAGTGTTGTTGATAATTGTAATTGATTCGTGATCGTTGGTGGATTTATCCCTTATTAGTTTTTTCCCCTACTACTTTTGATGGGATTTTCACATCAAAGGTTATTTGCCATTATCTTTTATATGACTCACATTAATTATCAATAATCTATACTAATAGACCAATGACACGTGTCATCTCCTGTTGTGTTCATAATTTTTTTTTATTTATTAAAAAAAAATCTATTTATTAAGGAAACAAATCATTTATAAATATAATATGTTTTTATAAACATTCCATATTAATGTAGTAATTATAATATTTATAATAAAAAGATTTCACAAATCTTTCCAAACAAAAATAGGCATCTATAAACCAAAATTTATTTTCTTAAAATTATTTGTGACCTGTTTTACAATAAGAAAAAAGGTTACTTAGATTTTTGCCTACTTTTATTTTAGTTGTGTATTAGAAGTTACAATTAAAAAATGCATAAGCCATATCAACCTATTGCATACTTTTATAGTTTTATTATTCCTTGACTAATAATTTATGATTATAATACTTGTCGACTAATCCCTCTGTTTTTAAGTACTTGCTCCATTTCTACTTTTTGTACTATTCATGTGTCCTACTTTGACTTATTTTTGTGACTTATACGTAAGAGAATATATAGTCTTGTGGGTATTTCTTGGAATCGTCTCAATGAATAGATAATTAATTTTCAATTATTAGAATTTATAATTATTGATAATTAAAGATATTATTGATAAAAAATTAGTATCGACGTATGTGTTTAGGAGAAATGTTGCAAGTATTTAAAAACGGAGAGCGTAATAATTTATAACTATAAATCAGCGTGCATGGCAAGGGATCTTACCTATTTTGTTATATAATATTGCCTATTGATTGTGTGTTGGCTTCCACTATTCTCAACACAAATTACAAGGGCATCAAGCCTAGTAAGCAAATTACGTGCTTTTCAAAATAGACAAGTATGATAATCAAATTAAAGGATACATTTGAATTAATCAGTATGATCAATAAAATAAGGATAAGAAGAATTGAAGCTGTGAGGCGGTTTAATTTGAAAATAAATGAATTGATAAGGGCCCTAAGAAATTATGAGTTGTTGTCTAGGATTCATCATTCGAATGAGCCTTGAAATTACTTGGAGGAACATAAGGTATTGTGAAATCAGGGTTTATCTGAAATGTGTTGAACTCTGGTAACTCATAAATTCTAAATTGACGTGGGGGTTGATCATACAGATATAGGAAAACTAGTTTAAATGTGCTTTTAAAAAATGTTGCCTTCCACTGTGCATGGAGGCTTTGCTCACAGTCCTCACGCAATGTATAAATAAATTTGTTTTCTTATTTTTTTTTGTAATTATAATTTAATATATAAATAAAGTAGGCATTTTTGGGAAGTATTTGGGGTGCCACTTAAGCAAAAGTATTATTTTAACTAATGAAAAATTAGATTTATATTTTATTATGGAATTAAAAAATTCATTCGCCATAAGCATTTTTCGGAAGCATTTGGAGTGCCACATAAGCAAAAGTATTATTTTGACCATTGAAAAATTAGATTTATATTTTATTATAGAATTAAAAATTCATTCGCCATATCATTTTTCGGAAGCATTTTGTGGTGCCACATAAGCAAAAGTATTATTTAGACCAATGAAAAATTAGATTTATATTTTATTATAGAATTAAAAATTCATTCGCCATAGGCATTTTTCCGGAAGCATTTGAGGTGCCACATAAGCAAAAGTATTATTATGACTAATGAAAAATTAGATTTATATTTTATTATAATATTAAAAAATTCATTCGCCATCTATGCAAAAGTAATGAATGAGATTTAAGAATTATTTGAAAACATCAAATAGTAATTTATGGTTTAAATTGTTTGAAAAACTAAAAATTATCTTTTGATATTAGGATTTAAATTATTTAAACAACTAGTTAAAAATTATCTTTTGATATAAGTGATATTTTCATAATTTATTTCTATAAACTTAAGCAAATAATGACTGAGAAAAATTAATCAAATAATTTTAAAATTAATTAAAAAAATCTACCTTACATTTAAGTACACAAAATTAGAATATTAGATATTAAGATATTACAAAAAATATTTACAAAAAAACTGATCGCATGGGCTGAAAATCTAGTTTAATCTATTTTAGCCCTAGTAAGGCTCATAAAGAGTAAAAGTATTGGGTATTTTGGTGAATTGGACTGACTTTTTAACAATTCTTTGACGCCTTTTTTTATTTATTTATTTTTATTTGAATCAATTTGAGTAGGTCTCCTTTTTATTTATTTATTTTTTTAAAGGAATTGTTTTACCTTCCCTCCCACCGCCGAGTTTTGGGTGGTTGAGTTGAATTTGTTGTATTAATTATATGTGGGGTTTGTTGGAAAGATTACTATCTCTGTTACTGTGGACGGTTCCAAAGACTCCTAGACAAAATTTGTTTGTGAGTGTTAAATGGAGAGAGAAAGATAGAAATGCATGTGATGAGGGGGGGGGGAGAGAGAGAGAGAGAGAGAGAGAGAGAGAGAGAGAGAGAGAGAGAGAGAGAGAGAGAGAGAGAGAGAGAGAGAGAGAGAGACAACTGAAAGGGAAAGAAAATATTTGTTGCAATATTGCAAATAAATATGACACATCCATTTTTGGCAAGTGTTGCAAATAATATGAAACGGTGGTAGTATATAAAAAAGAGACAGTGGCTTAATTGTTGATTTAATAGTATTCGTGGGGACCATAAGAGGAGTGATGCGCTGGAAAAATGTAGAGTTTTACATTAACAAAAGGGGCCGCCTTTGGAAACTATTGCATATTAAAAAACAAGGAGTAAAGTTGTATCATCAGACATTATGCACGGACGAGGGAGAGAGAATTTCTAGGTGTCTACAATTGAAATCTTGTAGATTGATCTGTACTTGGGTGTCTGTTATGAGAATAATGCTCTTTCCTATTCAATTTATTTTGTGACATCCTTGATTTGATCTACTCTTGGCTGTCACTGTTTGTAAAACTTGGGGATATATTACAATTTAGGTTGGTTTAGATATTTGGTTGTCTTCCTGTTGAGGTAATAGAATTGTATTTCTATACATTTACCGCTGCTCTTCTGGTTTTATATCTTTTCAAATTATTTTCTTGCAGTTGGAGTATGATGTCTTGGAATATGTTGTGATAGAGAGACTGGCGCAAAGTGGTCGTGAAAAGCTGAAAGACGATGGGCTTAACTTGTCAGATTGGCTTCAATCTCTGGCTTCATTTTGGGGACATCTGTATGTGTGTTTTTTGCCTTTTTTATTTTATTTATTTATTTATTTTTTTTTTTTTTTTTGTGTGTGTGTGTATTCTGTTCCCGAAAGTTCCACTCGCTTTTGGTTTTGGGTTGAAGTAAATTTGACTCACTTTTTCTTTATTCATATTTTTGTCAAACCCCTTTTACTACCTTACCTCTCTTCCCTGCACTATTTACCCCTTTCTACACACTGTCACTTATTTTATTTAACTTTATTTGTTACATCCACCTGCTTGTTACTCAATTCTCTTCGTTTTTTTTTATTGTTTTTTTATTTTTTTTTCAATTTTTTTTTTCTTTTTTCTTTTTTTTTGTCCTTTTTCTTACACCCATTCACTTTTAAAAAAAATTCCTAGAAGCAAGAGTCTACATTACGTAGTCAAATGTTCATAATGGAGGGAGTATAATATTGTATATGTGCATATTTCTGAAAATTCTGATTTCAAGGTTTTTTTAGTAGTGTTCGATAGAAGTTCTTTTCAAATATACTTTTTGCTGGAAATATTCATATGATTTGTCAATGAAAGCTTGCCCCCTGTTAATCTGCTATGAATCATAAGACTGTATATGTGACTATGACTGACAGCTGGAAGTTACTATGGGTATATTAGTTTTATTACTGGAAACATGTTTCAGCATCCCAAATCTCGTGTAAATTCCCTGGCTGATTGTTATAGACTAAGATTAGTCTATTACACTGATATCCTTTCAATGCTTGCTTCTAGGCATATCTGAAGTGTAAGGTCACACAGCATTGTTGATAAATAATTTCCTTGCAGAGGGTATCAGGATGATAATTGGTGGCTTGGCAAGAGAGCTTCCTTATTACTTGTTATGGCTTCTCAAACTTCCCACTAGGTGTTTTTGGCTTGCTGCTATGTGATTAATGTCTGAGGTGGGGTCAATGGAATTTCCGGGCTTCTCTTTCTTAATGGTCTACTTTTAAAATTAAGTCCATGTTATGATCAGGTTTCAAGATGTCAGATCTGTTTGAGGAATTGAAGTATTGCTATATTTCTGGACTGTATGAGCTGTAGTGTTTCTGCTGAATGAGATTAAATGAAGCCCATATGAGAAGGGCTGTTGATCCTCATACAGTTGATGTAGATACTTTGAGATTTGTCACTGCTGGAAATAAATACTTGATGGAGCCGTTTTTAGTAAGTGGGTGCACTTGTGCTGGTAAATATTTTTTGCCTTTGGAGTGGACTCAAAATATAAAACCAACATCTGCTCTCCATCATGTTTCTTTGGTTTGTAGTTTTGGCCTCTTTTTTCCCACCAAAAAATCTCGTGGTTAAGTCCCAAGAGAGACCTTGCTTTTGTTTAAGGGCATTCCTTTATAAAAAGTGGCACTCAGACTAGATATGCAGAGAAGTGGTTGGTGGTCTGTTCAATTTCTTACATATGGTGGTAATTTCCAAAAATCCATTCTTCATTGCGTTTCTGAAAGTATTAAGGTATTCCAGCTGTAAGTGTGCCAGCCTAGGAATGGAAAGTTTGTTTTGGATCCATTACTTCTTAAGGGTTCAGTAGGCTGGCTAGTGGTGAGTTTATTTCTTCTATTTAAAGGCACCTTATTTGGCTGGTTGGCTTTGTATCTTTTTGGGAAATGGTGTGCTTGTGTTAACTTTCTTCTACAAGTGGGTGGCACTTCACAGGAGGCTTCCATTTATTGGTGTATCAACAAACTCTCTGACCATATTCGAGTTTGTAGATCATTTGAAGGAAGCTCATAGGAATGAGTCCTAACATTCTTCTTTGAGCTTGACTTGTGAAATCGTGGGGTAGATGATCTGCCTACTTTTACAATAGACATGAAGTCCTTCTGAAGCGAAGAAAGGAGTGAATTGGATATAATTCAGTAATTAAAGAGCCCTTTAATTTTTCTTGTTACTAACTCTATATTAAACCTCCGTACTTCCTGGTTTGACGAGCTATTCATAAAACCCTAAATATATATGAGTGATAAGAGCCAATGGCTTTGGATGTCAAAGATTTAAGGTCTTCTAGTGTTACATCTTCTAGTTTTATTGTTGTGTTGCTCTTGGTTGAGAAGATATACAGAGGTGCTATACCAGTTGGTTTTTGTGATTATTACTATTCTTCTTCTGCTCTCCTTTATCATGGCGTATAGATTAACTCCATCAAAGAAGGAGCTGAAGTGTGTTTTGAAAAAGCAATTATTATTGAATTTTGGAAGGATGGGATTTTTGGATCTGTCAACCAAACAAAATTTAGGTTGTTGAAGTATGATGATATATTCATACAACACTGACTGCAAGAGAACAACTGGGGAGGTTAACTATCTGTTCACTATTCCATGTCGGAGTCCTTGTTTGTTTCATTTGGAAATCCTGGTGAAATTTTCTTAACGTTGTGTCTTTTTGACATAAATAAATGGATAATATGTGGGGTCTTGTTTGATTTGCTGCTAGTTTTGTAGTATCTACTTTTATAATTCAGCAAATAGTGTTACTAGAATTATTTTCTACATTGCCAAGTGTAAAAAATAGTGTGTAAAGAATAGCTGAGGTAATATTTACCATCAAAGTACACCGTATGATGTATTCTTTGAATCATGTTCCTTTATACTATTTTGGGCTATACTTGGTGAAACCCTTTATTTAATACATCCTCTGTTTCTAAAATATTGAAGGTTGTACTTTAGACAATATTCTACAGTCCTCTTTGAACTAAATATTGGGATTTACATTCAAGGAAAGTCATAGTCATGCGAGGTCTTGTTGAATTACTCGCAAGTATCAACTTTTTATAATTGTTATCATTATGTAATTAAATATTAGAGGTTAGAGGTGTTTTGGGAAGCTTGATTTTCCAATGTTGGAATATTATGAGAATGAAAGAAGTATTTCTTTGTCATTGAATAAAATTCTGAATTTTGTTAATGCAGTTTAATATTCAACTGGAAAAACATTTGATTAAATTGTTGACTTACCAAAGTTAAGCTATTGCACATAACAAAAGACTTTTCCTTGTAACAGTATAGCTGAGCTTTTTTTTGCATATATATGTTACATCAGCCTCATCTATCTGTTGATGCTTTTTTGATGCACTCTTTAACAGACTGCTTTGTTTTTCTTACTTTAACATCATTAGCACTTACAAAGTTGTAGTTATAGGATCTAATTTTTGTTATTACCATGCTTTTTTCATGCCTAAATTTGTTCCTGATTTGTTGATTGTTACAGATGCAAGAAGTACCCTTCAATGGAGCTGAGAGGTCTGTTTCAATACCTTGTCAATCAATTGAAAAGGGGTAAAGGAATTGAACTACTTCTACTGCAGGTATACTTTATAACGTTTCAAAGAAGTCTGTGGACATGAATAATATTAAAGAGCCTTTTTTCATACATCTGGTAATGCTCTTTCTAGGAGTTGATACAACAAATGGCAAATGTTCAATACACGGAAAACATGACTGAGGAGCAGCTGGATTCCATGGCAGGTGGAGAGACTTTGCGATATCTAGCCACTTCTTATGGCATTAGCCGAAACAATAAGGTGATGATTCTAGAGATGGTTTTTCTATTTGAGAAAACAAGTGTAATCTGGTAAAGTATTACTAAGAGTGTAAGCTATTTTGGTAGAAGAAAAACTGAACACATGTGAACTTTTAATATACTAAGGCTTTATAAGAATTCTTGTTTTGAGGCAGTGATTAATTTTATGTTATTATTATACTATGTATAAATAAATAATTGAACAAAAAAGAATAGTTGTAAACTTGAAAGGGGGTGCTTTTGTAATTTTGCCCCATGATAATGCATAGAGCTGGTGGTTCAGGAACCATTATTATGCAAAGTATTCAGGTAGATTCATTTGCATCCCTTATCTGGACCTTAGTTACGGTTTAATATGAGATATGGTTCATTCGAAAGCTGTTTAACAGTGATTGTTTTCTTTATAAGATTGTATTAAATAAATTTATTATGATTATTGAAGAAAATTCAATTCCTGGATGTTTTGTTGTCCTACAGTACATTTTTGATGGATTAACTAACCAATAACTTGCATTTATATAGGTTGTTCTGTTGTATCTTTGGGGGTCTGGTTTCTCTTTTTTTTAACTTGTAGCTCTTTGCAAAGCTAATGCCGTCTTGTTAATTTTGACCTGTTGAAGTTACTACCTAGTTCACTGATTGGCTCTTTGACTTTGACTTTTAACTTTTGTTTTATTGGTTTTTGCTCTAGTCAGCTTATCCTTTTGGTTTTTCAAAAAATTTATGCACTGAAAAGAGTCGCCTGTTTACCTGATAGGTTGTGATAGGGGGGGGGGGGGAGGGGTTTTTGGCCTTGTTATTCGTACAAAATTAGAATTGTCAGACATGTATACATCTTCAAGTGCTAAGACACAGGTATTTGTGGTGAAATTTAGAGCTATGAAGCATGGGTATGACGACTTTATGTCGTTTCCAATATCAGGCACGGGAGGGGGATGGGTACAAGTCGGGTGCACTGGAAATATGTGCCCAGGATGTCTCTTGAACAAGGGGAAAAATTAGATACAACGTTATTATAAATATTGTGGTAGGTTGGTATTTTCTTCCCACTCCAGAGTTTATTATAAAGGAGTATTCCTTATAAGTATTATCATAGTGATCACTATAGAAGTAAAAAAATATACGTGAGAAACAGATGTGATGGAGATCCCTCTACGGCAAGAGTCTGTATTGAGCCACTAACATTGAACCCAATGCCTGAATTGCTGTCTTGATAATAGGTTAGTTCTTTGCATTTGGTCAGAACTCAAAATTTTTAAACCTCTGCTCGTTCAAGTTTCCACCAAAGGGGGCTTTGTGTTACGACGTTATTTCATGGATTATATTCTTGATTCTAGCGATCAGTCTTTAGAATGTTTTTATCAATGATCTTCTCACTTGTCTTAAATTTGGTGCCTTCATCTGATATTATTTGTTAGGAGTCTCTCTGTTCTGTTGACAGTCTCTCCTTTTATTCCCATTCTGTTTTGTTGTTTAGTTATCGCTTGCTTTTGAGCAAACTTAGATGGTTTTTACTTTGTATTTCTCATTCTTTCTGCCACCAATCAATCTGGTTATTCTAGCGAAGTGTAATTTTATCCACCTGGGGACTTATTGGAGATGCTGACGTGTATTCGTGTTGACTATCACATATCTTGCAGGCACTAGTCAAATCTACTAACCGACTGAGGGATTCCTTAGTTCCAAAGGAAGAACCAAAGCTGGCTATCCCTCTGTTGGTGCTAATTGCACAGCACCGTTCTCTGTAAGCCATTCTTCTCTGCAGTGAAGTATTTTCTTTACTTTCCTTTGTTAGGCTGAGTGTTTACTTTTAGTACCTGGGTTGGTGTTTTCTTTAGCAGGTACACTTTACCAAATGTATCTTTAGTTGGGCACTCATTGTGTTTTAACCTTCTGCTAGTTATTTCTTTCTTGTACAAGGTTTACATGTCCTTGCTAAATTGTTATCTTTCTTTTCTTTTCTTTTTTTTTTTTTAAATTGCCTTTTTCCTTTATTTATTTATTTATTTTTATGTTAAATCGTGTGGTGTTTCCTTTATTGATTTACTTTTGCAGGGTTGTTACCAATGCAGATGCACCTTATATAAAAATGCTTAGTGAGCAATTTGACAGGTGCCATGGGGTACTCCTTCAGTATGTGGATTTTCTTTGTAATGCTGTCAGTCCAGTAACTGCATATGCACAACTAGTACCTACTCTTGATGATCTTGTTCATCTATACCATCTTGATCCAGAGGTATGTCCACTCTTCAAGATGACGAGGGCAGAGGATTTCAATAATTGGTCAATTATTACTGTTTTATATAGTTTTATATATAATTAATACATTGTGTTACATGTTGTAGGTTATCTTCTTGATCTATCGACCAGTTATGAGGCTTTTCAAGTGTAAACATAGCTCTGTCTCTTGGCCTTTATGTGATCGTGATGTGCCAAGTGATGCTGGCGAACTGGTTTTGGATCTTGGACCTCCACGCAATCCAGTGAGGTATTACTTTCTCATTGCCTGTATCATTTGGTTTCCAGTTGACCAGCTGTGGTGTGCATTTTAAATTTGTGATGTCTTTTTTCTCATTGTTGACAATTGTGCCCTCTCTACTGCTATGAGGTTCTGATCAACACCTTTGATCCTCACGCCAGAATGCTATCCTTTTTATTTTTTTAATTTTTATGTTTTGTATATTTTGAAAATCCAGTGCATCAATTGATTGTAAATTCTGCAGGTGGTCTTTTCTTCTCGATACAGTTAGAACTATGTTGCCAGCTAAAGCATGGAACAGCCTGTCTCCAGATTTGTATGCAACTTTCTGGGGTCTGACATTATATGACCTTTATGTTCCTCGGAGTCGCTATGAATCTGAGATTGCAAAACAGCATGCTTCCCTAAAGGCTCTGGAAGAGCTCTCTGATAATTCAGGCTCTGCAATCGCCAAACGGAAGAAAGATAAAGAAAGGATTCAAGAGTCATTGGATCGTCTCACAAGTGAGCTCCAAAAACATGAAGAGAATGTCGCTTCTGTGCAAAGGAGGCTTGCAAATGAAAAAGATAAGTGGTTGAGCTCTTGTCCTGATACATTAAAGATAAACATGGAGTTTCTACAGCGATGTATTTTTCCACGCTGTATTTTCAGCATGCCAGATGCTGTTTATTGTGCAAAGTTTGTCCATACTCTTCACTCCTTGGGCACACCTTTTTTCAACACAGTCAACCATCTTGATGTTTTAATCTGCAAAACTTTACATCCAATGATATGCTGCTGTACTGACTATGAGGCTGGTAGACTTGGCAGATTTTTGTTTGAAACGCTAAAAATTGCGTACCATTGGAAGGTAGCTATTTTACTATAATTTATATAATTTTGTTGTTTGCTCCCGATTTGGATTTTAATATGTTGGTTGTTTGGTTTCAGAGTGATGAATCAGTCTATGAACGTGAATGTGGTAACATGCCTGGGTTTGCAGTTTATTATAGATACCCCAATAGTCAGCGGGTTACATATGGCCAGTTCATTAAGGTGAATTTCAACCTAGGGCTGTGATGGGTTCTTGTTTATTTCGGTATTCTTAAATTTTGGCTTGAGAGAATTTGCTTATGTTGACGCACATGTGTTCACAAACCAATGCACTGGACACTTGTGTTTTTAGTTGAACTAGTTGTGGATATGTCTTCCTCAATACCCCTCCTCCCTCATCTGCACCTGTTTATTTTTGTGTGAAAGTGTGAGGGTTACATAAGGAAAATACCTAAAACACAAGCTACATGGTGTGACTTAGCCTAGACAAAATATATGTATATATGATAAAGTCAAACAAAATAATTTAATAAGTTCCTACAGGCTCACAAATGCATATAAGATAAGTTTAAATATGGTTAGACGAGTCGAAGTAATAACTCCCTTAACAAATTAGTTGTTTAAATAGAGGAGAATAGGGTGGGTGGAGGGGGGGGGGGGAGATAGATCATGTTGAATAATGTAGAGTTTTGAATTAGTGATTTTTTTAATAATTTTTTTATTTAAAATTTTTTACCAAAGCCTCGAGTTATGAGCTTATTGGCCATGTTTGGTAATTGGCTTTTTAATGGCTTTTTGGTTAGCTTTTGGCTTTTTTAGGTGGTCAAACAGCAAAAAAATGTGTTTGGTAATTGGCTTTTTAGTCAGCGAAAAAGCTGGCTTTTAAGCCAAAATGAAAAAGCTCCTTTGAGTAGCTTTTTTGTTGGCTTTTGGCTGGTTGGCCCACAAATTATCTAATAAACAACCAACAACCAACAATTAATTTACCAAACACTTTTATAAACACCCAGCTTAAACAACCAATTTCAAAAGCCATTATAAACAACCAAACATTCCAGCTGGTCAAACAAGCCAAGTGAACCAGCCAACCGCCAACAGCCGTTTGCCAAACAAGGCCATTGTCTTCATACCCCTTAAAATTTTCCATATACGATATACCCCCGAGTTTTTACAAAAATGCATTCTATAATAATAACGACTTTGAGTGAAGTTTTTATTATGCCTTTGAAACCACCCCCGATCCCTTATCTCACCCTCAGATCTCCTTCCCCACCCCTTCCTTAATAATATGATTGATTTCGGGGTGGGGGAAGGAGATCTGGGTTTCGGTGGTGCGGGAGGGGGGGGGAGAGTGTAGTTTCGGGGGGTAGTGGAAGGTAGGGAGAGGGTGGTTGCGGGGATAAGGGAATGTAAGTGAGGTGGTTTTGGGGCATAATTTAATCTATTGACGAACATAGTTATCTATTAATAGTCATTAAGGGTACATAATGCATTTTTTAAAAAAACTTGGGGGTATATGGTGCATTTAAATAAATTCCAAGGTATATGATGAATAAACTGGAAACTCGGGGGTACATGAAGAAAAAATCGTTTTATTTATTTATTATTTTTTCTAATTTTGAATATTGTGAAGAGTTGTAAATTATTAAGTCTAAGGCAGGTAAGAGCTGTAACTATCTTTTTTTTATTGCTTATTCCATGTATATAAAACAGTCAAGCTTCATCTTCTAATCCTCACATTTCACCTTTTATTTTTGTGTAAGCTATGTCGATCCATAGCATTCTTTTATTATGACGTCTTCTATTTGGTGATTGGCGGTGACTAATGTTTCCTTGAAAAGCCACTAACCGTTGTGTATGGTAGCTATTTCCTTGCTTTATAATAGGACAGGATACTCATTTGCATTTTCTTAATGTAAAGGTGCATTGGAAATGGAGTCAAAGAATCACCCGACTGTTGATACAGTGCTTGGAATCTGCAGAATATATGGAAATTCGAAATGCACTCATCGTGTTGACAAAAATAACAAGTGTATTTCCAGTTACTAGGAAAAGTGGAATTAACATTGAGAAACGAGTGAGTAACACAATCTTTGAACATTTCTATATTTGTAAGTTGATGTTTGTACAAATACATTTTAAAGTGTAGTTTTCTTGCCTTTTCTATAGGTGGCAAAAATTAAAGGTGAAGAGAGAGAAGATTTGAAGGTTCTAGCCACTGGTGTTGCAGCTGCTTTAGCTGCTAGAAAGGTAAATAAATTGGGCAGTGCAATGGAGTAGCTCATAGTCACTCATTATCTTAAATAATTGGAATTTTTACAAAGTACATTCGATTTCAGCCGTCATGGGTTACTGAAGATGAGTTTGGGATGGGATATCTTGAACTGAAACCTGCACCGTCTGTCGCTCCAAAATCTTCCACAGGTAATGGTGCTTCTCAAAGTGAAACTACTGGGGGAAGAGTTTCCTCTGAAGCTCAGCCTTTGGATTCAGGGAATTCCCTGAAAGATCAAGCATTTCGAGTGAAGATTGCAGATGCCAAGTCAGAAAGACCTGAAAATGTTTCAGGAAATGCTAAAAAAGGTGGTTCAATTGCAAATGGGTCAGATGTGCAGCCAACAGGAGCGCAGGTGGGAGTGTCACGATCAGTAGATAGTCAAAAGCAGGTAGATGAGCCTTTAAACAAGACTGGGGATGAAAACAATGCCAAAAAAGTGTTAAAGTTATCTACAGACAGTGAGGTATTGCCTGTATTCTCCCTTAATCGTTACACCAGTCCTTGGTATCCACTTAAATTGGAAATGAAGTATTAACTTGAAGCAGAAACATTTATTAGTGGCTTTCTGTAACCTTAGTTACCTTAATCTTTCAAAAAGTATCTCACTTAAAGCCTGGCATCTTGGTAAAAGAACCTGTTCATATTATTGTCTAGCTTCCTTGGTATGCACTTTCTAATTGGTCTCTTAGTCCAGTGCTGAGAAAGCCAAGATTATTACCTCATTTCTATGGTAGCATTTCCATACATTAAGTGTTTCTAGATCTTGCCTTAGTTGACATCATGGTTTTTAGAATCATGATTTGAAACTTAGAATGTTATGATTCTATGTTCTCAAAATATGCATCAATTGCCTGATCCTGATTCAAGTAGTGTTGTATAATTTTAACATTGTAGAATCTTAGGATCCTATGATTTATGATTCAATTCTACAATAACAACCTGTGATGAAATTACTTCTAATGTTATTAACTAATTAGTTTCTTGTATGATTACATGATCTGGAATTAATTGTAACAAATTCAGAGCTACAAAGTACAAGCAAGCCATGTATATTACTCTATACCTTTAATACCTTAACATAAAGAGTTGATGTTGTCGGTGCTAAAAATATGATATAAGAAAGATAGAGCGGCTAACAGAAAGAAAGTTTTTGGGCAAGACCTGCATACTTAATATTCAATGGTATAATGATATTTTTAACAAATTCATATAATCTTATTATGTTCTGATTTTAAATAGCTTTAGCAATCCGAAGTATAGTCCTGATTCTGACAACTTTGCAAGGCATACAATTAAAGTAGATGCAACGAGTTAGTATGTTGTGTTCTGAACACTAGCAGTTGTAAAAATTCTCTTTTTGCAGAGCACTCCTTGTGAGTCGTGTCCTGAACTCTAGTAGTTGGTATGTGTGTGTATTTCCATTCTTTTGGTAAAAATGCTTCTTGTAGATTTTAGTTTATCCATAAACTTGTTTTTGATTCACTAAACAAATCGCTTCCTTATGGCTGCAAGCCTGCAAATTCATTTTTCTCTTGAGTTATGGGAAATATCTACCTGTCGTAACTATCATGCCTTGTTTGGGAGCATTTGGGTTAGATCATTAATAAGATATTTGTTTAAGAAGTCTTCCAGGATACGCCATAACTTTAGTCAATTAAGGCGTTCAACATTGGATTTTCTTGACTTCTTTAAGTCTTACTCGTTCCGTTTTTAAATACTTGCTCCATTTCTCCATGCGCGAAGTTTTAGGAGAAATTAGAGAAAGTAATAAAATACAGAGGTAGTGGGGTTGGTGGAAGAATAAAAAATTGTAAAAACCCAAAAGTAGTGGAGAGAATTGAAGGAGAGAGAATATGGAATTAATATTGTTGGGTCCACTTGGTGAGAGAAATTAATTAAATATTGTAAAAGCTTTCCAAATAAGGAAATGGAGCAAGTATTTAACAACTGCCGGGAAAGGAAAGTGGAGCAAGTATTTAAAAACGGAGGGAGTAGTTAACAAATTCTGCACAGATCCTGATCTATCATCCCTTGATTATCAAAAAAGAGAAAAATTAATGTCTGATTTGGATTATGTTTGTACAGCAAAAAACTGCTGCTAAACGTACCTCAGCTGGAGCTGGTTCAAAGCAACTTAAACAAGAGCTTAAAGATGAGGCAAAGTCAGCCAAGGTTGGTAGCAGAACAGGTGGTGCTTCAGCAAGTGATAGAGATCATGGAAGCCATCTTATAGAAGGCAGGCAAACTGGGCAAGCTGCTGTTTTGTCTGCATCTGTTGTAAATGGTAATTCAGCTCCTTCATCTAAAGGCTTGGCATCTTCCACTAGAGTTGACTTAGAAGCTAGTGAATTGAGGGGAGAAGTTGGATCCACAAAACCCTCTAATTTAAGGGGTTCTTTGAGGGATGATGGCACAGATCAATCTGATTTTCCTCGGCCTTCACATGCCCGTTCAGCTCACTCTCCGAAGCATGATACTGGTGGGAGGGCTGTAGAAAGACAACAAAAAAGAACTAGTCCTGCAGAAGAACCAGATAGGCTACATAAACGGAGGAAAGGTGATTTTGATGTGAGAGATACGGATGTTGATCTTCGATTAGCCGATCGGGAGAAAATAGTTGAGCAAAAAGTTATCGACAAATCCTACTCTTCAGAGTTGGATAAGTCAGGGACTGAGGAATCAGCTTTAGGTTGGGTTGCTGATAAACATGTTGATAGGACAAAGGAGAAAAATAGTGAAAAATATGAGAGGGACTACAGAGATAGATCCGAGCGCAGTGATAAACTCCGGGGTGATGATATTTCTGAAAAGGCGAGAGACAGATCAATGGAACGGTATGGAAGAGAGCGCTCTGTTGACAAAGTACCAGATCGAAGGATTGAAAGGGGTTTTGATGGCCTTAATGACAAAATCAGGGATGAAAGAAGCAAGGATGATAGAGTTAAATTGCGTTACAATGAAGTATCTGGTGATAAATCTCATAATGATGATCGGTTTCATTGTCAGAATTTGCCACCTCCACCCCCTTTACCACCTCATGTGGTTCCACAATCTGTAAATGCTAATCGAAGAGATGATGATGCTGAAAGAAGATTGCCAACCACTAGGCATGCCCAAAGGCTTTCCCCTAAACATGATGAAAAAGAACGTAGACGGTCAGAGGAAAGCCTGTTGACTGTGCAAGATGATTCCAGGCGTAGAAGAGAAGACGAATTCCGAGATAGAAAGCGTGAAGAACGGGAGATTTATTCGATGAAGGTATGTAATGACAATCAATCATTTGCTGTTACTAAAGTCTTAATTGACTAATTATTGCAATGAATTTTAGCTAATTACTAAAAATGATTACAAAACAGCTAGCAAGGAAAATACTTCTTTTATTCCACATTGACCATTTATATTTGTAAATCTCATTATGTAAATGTTATAAAATGCTGATATTTAGATGTATAAATTGAGATGAATCTAAAAAGATCCCACATGTTTATATTTATTTATGTATAAATCACAATAGACGGTCAAAGAGAGTTCGTGAATAGTGTATAGTCAACATGGAGCAATAATTGTGGAACAGAGGAAGTATCATCAGCTAAACTAGGCGATTTTGGCCTTGCTATATGTTTAATATTATGTGTTGCTCTTTGATGTTGCTTTAGTGGGGATGGCTGCTTGCCATCGACGAACTTGAGATGTGTCAAAAACATGCTTAGCGCAATTATAATATTATATGCTTTACTTAATCTGTAATACAGCCATAAAATTTTCTTTATTTGTTACTTGATCTGTAATACAGCCATAAAACTTGCCGTAAGGCACATGTGTAGTTGCCTATATCTTTCATTAATCATTTTTCTTTTATTTATCTATATATATTTATCTTTTTTTCCCCCTTCATTCTTTTGCAGTACTAAGTACTATATTAAGAGGGAGAAGTGACAAAAGGGAAAATATGAGTGACAATTAATAGAAAGCTGGGAAAAATCAAGTTCAATGAATTTCATTCATAAAAGATACATATGGGCAACAAACCTTTTTATACTACCATGTTACTGGATTTTTTCAGATTACCTACAACAAAGCCTTAGTCCCAAAATGATTTTGGGTCGCTAACATGAATCGTCATAAAGAGCCGTCCGATGCATTATTGACCTATTCAAAACAGGATATTACATTTATTGACCTATCAGTTTTTCCTACGTGTGAAATAACGAGCTTTTTGGTGTATTCAATAGCATGGCTCTGGTGTGTATCATTGAGACTGTCATTAAGCAGCCTATCGCATAACAATATGTGAAGAATTAATTATTGGATACATAATGTGAAATGAGCTGTTCAGTACAAGACTTGTGTTTCTAATTCTGTAAATTTCAAAAATAGTATTAAGTAATAACGTAATGTTTTTATCGAATTCATCTTGCTACCTACTTGTCCAATCTGTTTCTTGTGCATCTTGGCTACTTCTGTTAGTTTCACTATTTAGGGTTTTTGTAGGTGCTATATCTGGTAGGTGGGTGTTTTGACATCGTCACTTGAATGAGCTAGTTTATTACCATGCAAACTTGAATGGGCTAATGACTAAGTTGTGGGGTTTCTGGTATGACATTTGTTCTTTTTTGTGCAATGTCTGGCAAACATAATGGATTCACTTAACATTACTGATTTCTAAAATATTTATTGAAATGAAATGAGCTTATTAGGAAATCATAAAGACCATAATTCCATAACAATGTTACGCATTGATTAATGTGGAACTCAATAGATGTAAATTATCTGTACTGAAAAGGATTTCTGAATGCTTGCGTTTTGTTACGTCCTGGTTTTTCATATTAACTGTTTATTGTGTCATATCATATTGGCAATTTGGCTAATGTTGAATGACTAATTATTTAATTGTCATTCCATAATGGTATTTTTGGCCATTAGCTATTAGATACGAATACTAGGTTGAATTTAGTTTTTTGTGGCCTTGTAAAAAGGCATTTGATACATTGAAAAGACAGAAAAATGAGTCCCTTGACTCCCTTCTTTGCTGCTAATTTTTCTTTTCAAGGTTACTTTTATGCGTGCCTCATTGCATTCTGCTACGAAATGACCTAATATCTTCATTGTTGAAGGTAGAGGAGAGAGAAAGGGAGAAGGAGAAAGAAAGAGAACGGGACAGGGATAGAGCAAACCTTTTGAAAGAGGAAATTGATTCAACTGCAGCCTCAAAAAGACGGAAACTTAAAAGGGAGCATATTCCTGGTGGGGAACCTGGTGAGTATTCCCCTGTTGCTCCACCACCCCCAATTTCCATGGGCATTGCACAGGCGTATGATGCCAGGGAAAGAGGAGATCGAAAAGGTACAATGGTTCAGCGTCCAGCATACTTTGAGGAACCAGGTATGAGGATGCATGTAAAAGAACCACCAAGCAAGATGGTACGACGTGATGTTGACCCGTATCCTTTTTATGTCTTCTGCGCGTTGATTTACAAATGTTACCAGATTTTTTTCGTAATTCTTTGTGCACTCTCATGTTAGTCTTTTTGAATATAATCCCCACTTTATGTTATTTATGCTAAGGCTTCACGTGGAAATTAAGAATGTTAATAAAAGTGAATAGTAAATTGTAAGAGTGAGAGTGAGAAAGATCAAGTGAGAACTAGAGAACTGTTTTTGAACGCATTGGAAATTTTGATAGTAGTGACTTTTTGGAAATTCAAATTAGTAAAGCCTTAAAAAACATTAAGGAGAAGAGTATGTTAAAGATGAAGTGTTTTAGCCATTATACAAATAAAATAATTAATAAGGTAGAAAATCATACTCCTTTATAAAGTAGAATGTATTGCGAAAATCTGTCTTTTCTTTGCGTGCTCTAGTCTCGTTGCAGCTATTATGACTGCGATTATATCATAAATTTACTAGGGAGCCCAATTAGAAGAATGAAGAACTGTAAAAGCTTGCTGACTACTGAAGAACTTAGTTTTCTCTTTGAAGGTTTGGGAAGCCAGTTCTAATTCTACTGTGCTCTAGTGTTTGTAATCTCTAATAAAAATTACCGTGTTTCTATGGATAATTACTGCATTCTTTATCCTCTGACTTAGGGATTTTGATGAAGCAGGCTGAAACTCAAGTTCTACTCACTAGGTTGAAATTATGAAGCTTGTCTCAAATTTGATAACTCAACTCTAGGTCAACTAGAAAAAGAATGCTTACATTCTGTTGCTAAAAAATTATAGAAATGTTTCATATCTGTTAAAAATGCATAATTTTAAAATATTTATGTAATTTTAATTAATATTTAATTTATTTAAAAAAATATCACATGATTTTGTTTGCCTTAATTATAGAAATCAAAGATCAATATAGCAGTGCTAGACGACCAGTATGAAATAATTGAGGGCAGTGAGCATCATGCAGCTTCTTGTTTACACCTTAAAATCATGAGGCATCAACCTCACACTGGTATAAACTATAAAATGTAGGTAGTTTTCCTATTGCAATTTATTGTAAATTGAGTTAATTATGACATGTGTAGGTAATTGGGTATGTCTGAAGTTTTTGCTGCTGTGCCATTGTGACTATATCATAATGATGCATATATTAGCAAATTCTGTATGTGGTAGGTACCAGTGACAGTATAGTTTTATGAGGTGTGGCTACCATATACTTCCTCCATTCTACAGATATTGCACCATATTGACTTTTTCACTATTCACATGCTCTTGTTTGGCCATTTATTATGATTTATACGCAAGGAGAATCGTAGTACGGAGTGTATTGTTAGATTTGTCTGAATTTATACTTTCAAAATATCAATTTTGTTATATACTTATTGTGAATTAAACTTATTAATCGTCAAAGTTGTGTGTTGGGAAGCGTAAAGCACTAATATTGTAGAATGGAGAAAGTAAAATTTTGAGCATGCTGCTTTTTGAAACAAATACTTTGCATCACTATCTAATAAGAAATGTAACAATAATTGTTTAGATGCTGCTTTTCTTAACTATACTATTGCTTTCTGTTATTTTATTGATCTATGCGATCCTTTAGCTGTACAATGTTTTATACCTTAATGAGCATGTGACAGAATGTACGAACGTGATTGGGAGGATGAGAAAAGACTGAGAGCAGAAGCAAAACGCAGACACAGGAAATGATTTCAAGTGATCAGAATGCCTGTTTTCAGTGTGTTGCTGATTGAGACCAAGTGGTCATTATTATCGGATCATCTCCTGCGATGTTAAGAATTTGTCCAGTGTTTAATTCTAGTAAGAATCTTTATCTTCAGTTTGACCCAATGTAGGGAGATCTCTTATGTGAACATTATTGTAGCTGGATCTTTTAGTTAAGTTGTTTGAGCAGTGTCCTGATACTAACTACAATTGTAACATAGCGGGATTTGGAATTTCCCGAAATTGAAGTTTATGAATGATCATGATTTTGATCATTGAAATTCAGCTAATGGAGATCAAGCAAAGCTGGATTCTCTTGCCATTGCTTGAGACTGCTGTGCTACTGCTTGTGTTAACCTCAATATTGCACAAGGGAAGAGGACATACTCAGGAGGTATGTCCTATTTAAAAATTATGTTCTATTAGATTTTAAGTCCAAATAATTTGAATAGAAATATGTTCCTGTTTTGTATATATATATATGTATATTCAACAACCGGCAATTTTGATAATTTTTATGGCTTATCTTATTGCCTCTATATGCAAGTGTTCATACACCCTGAAATAATAATTAGTTATGTTATTTCATTATAGTATCTCTGTTTTTACTTTTTATTATCATCTTATAGGAAATTGTCTAATTACTTGCAACACTACTATGTTTGGTAGTGTTTACCTTTCTCCCATCTCTCCTAACCCTTCCTTCCCCTCTAACTGAACCCAAACCACAACCACACCTACCAAAGCCAATCCCTTTAGCCATAGCCACCAGCCCACTACCGAAATTTGTTGGTGGCTATGGCTAAAGGGATGGCATGGCTATGCTCCTTGTCTCGCTCTTGTCTAAAAGTTGTGTCATACTATGCTTGGGCATGGCCAAAGTTGCATCCACTGTTGAATTAAAAAATGTCAACAACCATTAACCTGATTTCTGAATGGGGGGTTACTAAATGCCACAATAGAATTACTTAGGGCGCGGTATTAAATTACTCATTTACCCTTATAACTTACATGTTTGACATTCAATTTTTCTCACCAACCATACTCCTTCCACCACCATCACCCTAAACACCATCACCACCACCACCACCACCACCCTAAGGTTGCTGGAATCACCATCACGTTAAACACCATCACCAGCACCACCACCCTAAGGTCGTCGGAATCATCCAATTTTCTCACTATCTATCACACCAAATAAACAACTTATCATACCAAATCAACCGGAAAAAGGAAGAGGTTTAATACAATGGAATCGCGGCGTGGGAAGGGGGTTTATTTGCCGGGAAATGTGGGGAAAACACCGGTAAGGATTTTTTTTTTTTAAAAAAAAAATTTCGCAGAAAAACCATAGTCGCGTGCTATATGCGACTCCACCACGGCATAGTCGCATATAGCATGCGATTACACCGTGGTGGAGTCGCATATAGCGTGCGATTACACCGTGGTGGAGTCGCATATAGCGTGCGACTACGCCACGGTACAGTCGCATATAGCGTGCGACTCTACCACGGTGTAGTCGCATGTAACATGCGACTGTACCATGGCATAGTCGCATGCTATATGCGACTATACCACGGTGTAGTCGCATATAGCATGCGACTACACCGTGGTATAGTCGCATATAACATGCGACCGGGTACAACGAAAATTGAAAAAAAAGTCCGACATATACTTGACTCGACGGTTGTCGTCCCCACCAAGTGCCTCCGATATGAACGCCGACCGTCGTCGACTCATTTTATATGTCGTGGGTGGTGGACCATTCAAGGTGGAGCTGTGGTGTATGATGGTCAAGGTGGAGTCGTGGTGGACCGGTCAAGGTCGAGTCGTGGTGGTGGCCCAGTCAAAGGTGAGTGGTGGTATGGGTGGTGGAGCATATGACAAAGTTAGTAGTTAATAATGGTTGGATTATTAAGTAATTTTCAAAATTATAAGGGGCATAAACGTCTTTTAATACTATAACTTGAGTAATTTCATTGTGGCAAATAGCAATCACTTCTGAATGTGTCTGCCCTCCTTTTTCAGAATAGTTAACCACCAAACTATTACCTCAGTTTTATATTATTTGCAACAATTTGACATAAAATAGGGGAAAAATATCTAAATCGTTGCAAATAATATGAAACAGAGGTAGTACAATTTAAATACCATACCCTTTGTTAAAAATCTTTTTACCCATTGAATAATATTGGACAATAAAAGAGATAGAAGTAAGAAGTGAAAATATTAGTGTAGTATTGCAGTTACTTTTGCTTGTGTAGTTCATTATAGTGAGCTTGCCTATTTGTACCTTATAGGTAGTGCTGTCAAATTTCAAACTGAAACTGTTTAACTGCCCGAAACAAACCGACCCAGATGAGAACTGAACCGATTAAAAACTGTTTTTTTTTTAAACCGAAAATCGACCCGAACCGTATGTGAATGAACTCAAAACTGAACCGACCTGTTTAACGGTTATATGGTATAAGAACCGAACCCGTTAATGAACCGAACCAGTTCTATACCGAACTGAAAAAAAAACCGAACTGTTTCTAACCCGAAACCGTTTAAACCGGGATAAAAACTGTTTACATCGAACCGTTAACAACCCGCGACTCGTTAGCATCGAACTGTATAACAATTGAACCGTTTATAAACCGAACCACATGCAAACCGAATCCAAACGGTTAACAAGTACTATCAAATTTCAAACCAAAACCATTTAATTGCCCGAATCCAAACGACTCGATAAACAATCGATTTTTTGAAACCGAAAACCGACCCAAATCGTAATTTAGTAAACTCGAAATGGAATCGATCCAGATAACGTTAAACCGTAGAAGAACCGAACCCGTTATAAACTGAACTGATAAAGAACTAAACCAATTATAAACTGAACCAAAAAGTGAACTAGTTATAAATTGAACCGAAAAAGAACCAAACTGTTTCTAACCCGAAACCGTTTCCAACCCGAAACTGTTTGAACCGGGATAAAGACCATTTACACCGAACCGTTAACAAATCACAATCCGTCTGCACTGAACTGTTTACTACCCGGACTGTTTACAACCCGAACCGAATTAAAACCGCTCAAGAATAAACCGAAACCAAATCGAACCGATAAGTATTTAAACCGAACTGAAACCGACCCGCGAGACACTTAAACCAATTTCAAACTGACGCGATTTAATACCAAACCGATTTCAAACTGAATCGTATCCGAACTGTCAAACCGTTTTAATAGTGCTACTTATAGGTAAATTTTGTCATTAAAATATTTTGCATGATTGGACTTTGTTACAAATTATTGCACTAGTTACATTGTTGATGAATATCGTTTTTAATGTTTTCTCAAACACCCCCCTTGAATGTTCACATGAAATAAAATATGAGCTATAGGAAATGAAAACTAGGATGCAAAAGTGTACAATGATATAATATTATATGCTTTGATAAATTGCTATGTCAAAAACCTTGTCAAGAAAAACTAAGTGGGATAAAAACCCAAACAAAGTAAAAAGAGTCTAGTGCTTATAATACTCTCCTTGATTTTATCGTAATTCACAAAGATGTCGCATTTCGATTTCATGAAAAAATTGCTCAAATTTCTTTGAAAGGATTTAGTGAACAGGTTGGCAAGATTATCACAAGATTGAATTTGCTAGACATCAATTTTCTCTTCCTTTAGCTGATCATGTGTGAAGAATAGTTTTGGGGATATATATTTTGTTCTATCTCCCTTAATATATCCTTCGGGCACTTGAGAGATGCATGTCATATCGTGTTTTCTTCAAAGATGATGGATGGATTTTCTGTTATTACGTTCATTCCACAATTTTCTTGGATATTACTAATCATCGACCTTAGGCATAAACATTATCATTCTTCTTCGAAAAGAGCTATCCATATAACTCTACATGATTCGTTTTTCAAGTGACTTTAACTCAACGTGCATTGCGTCCTTCCATTTTGGCCAATCATTCTGGTGTTGGTATTCTTCCATTGTTCTTAGTTCAACATCATTTTCATTAGACACAATTTCAATCGTGATGGATTATCCAAATATTACATTTACGATAACATCATTTCTGTTCCAATGAATCTTGGTAGAAACATAATTCATTGAAATATCATTGTTATCGATGTCGTTGTAATCCTATTCATTCCCCATCAAGTTGTCTTTTTGTTGATTTCCTTTCGGATTATCATTGCTTTCTTACTTTCATCAACATTTGGTATTTCTTGACCTTCTAAAAAGGGAAAATCACTAGTTTCATCTTCTATTACATCCAATCTTTTCAATTTTCATAGTTTAGAATCTTTTGAACAAAGTGGTCTCCCACGCTTTCGGCGTGCTTAAGATTCGTTTTCAGTGGCCTTATTCCCAGTTGAAATTTCAATACGTGCACGTGCATTTTTTGCTGGTACATATTATGTCATCTTCTTTGTGTCTTGATGGGCGTTAGAACGATCGCACATTCCACACTCAATCAAACACATTTATAAACAAACATCCCACAAACCAAACACTATGATATGTAAGTATTCAGTCCACAAAGAACGGGATATGATTGCTAAGGATCTTAACATTAAGCTAATTCAAAGTCATTTGTGATTGAGGGTTCGTCAAGTAGACAAACAAACAATAGTTCTAAATCAAGTGAATAAAGACACTAGGGAATGAGATCCACTCAACCATGGTAGTTAGGCATATTGGGAGTAAAATGGACAAGAGATAGCAAAGACTATATGTAAGATCAACTTCATGCAATTAGTATACAACTCACATTACTAAACTTATATTACTCATTAGCTTAGCAATAGAAGATACATAATCAAATTGCAATCAGTAATGACATACTCAATTCACATTTCCATGTCAAACTAAGCATACCAAGCTATCAAGCTCCTAACTTAAGGGAGCTAATCCTATCACGAATAACTAACAAGCAACTTCATACAATCAATTTAATCACAAATCAAACATCAATACTTCTCCCAAGTTTACATTGCTAACCATTAGGTTGAGCTTCACCCAACCCCTAGCAAAGAGGACAACTCACAACTCATCTTAAATGTAGGTGGGTTGGTTGTTGTTCCAACCCGCAACCGACCCTTCTTGAACGGGGCGGTGAGGATTGTTGACATAGGGGAGAAAGTCTCCCCTCTCAACTTAGTTTTGAAAGGACATTTGGGAAACATAGATTTGGTATTCATACCCTTGCAAAATTCTTTGGTTGAAAAGATTGAGATGGTGAAAGACCGATTCAAGGTTGAAGGAAGAAGAAGAAGAAGAGGAGGGGCTACCCATAAAACTAGGAATGGTAGAAATGCTATGGCGGCGAGGTTAAGATGGTTGGTCAAGGTAGGGAACATTCGCGGGGAGTGGCTCAATTGATACTTACCAAGTGTTCCCCACGGTGTTCATTACAGCCGCATTAGGGAGAATGCAACGGTGTTTACCCTTTACCTACTAAGAGTAAGTGGTCACATTGCCACGGAGTTCCACAAGCATATGTATTGAGTAATGTCCGGGAATGTCAAGGACATTGGACTC